ATTCCCGGATGGCCTGACCGAGTTCCTGTAGTGTCTCCTTAGGTTGGCGTCTCCTCATTCTCAACTCGAAGAGAAAGTTCTCAGCCTGGTCACCTGAACCAAACCTGCCATCAAGGTGGAACACGAGCTCCGTGTAAGTGAAGATATGTCCTTGCGGAAGATTGTTCAACACTTTTAACGCTGATCCTTGTAAGCGAGTTGCTAAAAACTGTCCAGCCTCTACATCACTCCAGTTATTGAGACGCATACAGACATCGAAATGTCTTCTATAGTCCGACCAGGGGATTTTTCCAGCGAACTTGTCCGGAAGTATGTCCTTGTTAGATCCTCGGAACCTCAAAGCTTGACGTCTAGCCTGTATTCCTGGACCTTGGAAGGAGGATGTATCTTCCGGAAATCCATGCGGTGTAAAGACACGTCTATGTTCCTCAGGAATGGCATCTCCATAACCAGCCATATCTACTACGATTTCCGGATCCTGGACATCCGATGCCCAGTATTTTGGTTCCAGTTGGACACTCTGTCCCTGTTGGACGCCCGGTCCCATTTGGACACTTTGTCCGGACACAGTCTGTGTAATTCCAGACACTCCGTCCGGTCCGTCAGGAACTTGACCGCTTGGATCCATTTCTTTCAAAATTTATAAGCCAAGCAAGAATTTTAAGTCACCAGTTAACCTCTTACAATGTTGTTTTTGTACAATTTAATTTAAGTGTACTTTTATTATTATTTGTACATATACTCTATTGAAAAGTTGCACTCATAAGTTTAGAAGTTCATGATACCGATCTTGTCTGGTTTGCACTAGTTTCCTAATTACTGTACGTTTACTACATCATAAAAAAATAACACTTTTTATTTCCTCTAAGTGATAAACATAATTTATCACCAAAACAAGAACACAACTCATCTTAGAATTGCAGTTAATCGCAATTAAAGATGCTTCTAAATCCCACCGCTGCCACCATTGTGACGGTTCTGGCGTGAAATCAGGGAGAAAGGGGGGGGGGGGGGGGTGGGTGGAGGTTGAATTACAAATCCCACTGCTGCCACCATTGTGGCGGTTTTGCGTGATCGGCAGGGAAGAAGGGGGGGGGGTGGTTTGATAGAAATCCCACCGCTGCCACCATTGTGACGGTTTCGTGAAAGGGAGAAAGGGGGGGGTGGTTTGATAGAAATCCCACCGCTGCCACCATTGTGACGGTTCTGGCGTGTGAGTCATCAGGGAAGAAAGGGGGGGGGGGGGTTGATAGAAATGCCACCATTGTGACGGTTCTAGGGAATCGGGGAATCGAGGGGGGTGGTTAATAGTAATCCACCATTGCCCCCAAATCATCCCCAACGCTACATAAACTTTCTCCTGCTACCATTATAGCGAATTCTATCAATATAGGGAATACAAGTAAAACAGGTCTGGAAAGAAGACTACATCAATAACCACTTTTATGTCAGTCTCTTATACCCTTAATTCTGACGGTTGCTGCCACCACCTAGTCTTAATCTGGAGCGCTAGGATCTCCAAAACAACACGGTTTGTGTGTTTACATTCACTCTGTAATCTGATACACTCTCACTTACATACACAGATTCCTAAGAAACCGGACCATGCGTCCTTCTACTAGTATACGCTTAAAGTCATTGTGACGTATGGCAATTGCTTCCTTTTGGGACGCACTGTCTCGTCCTTTCCCAATCTGTCTCTCGTCACGTGTAAGACGCACTGTCTCACTCTGGGAAAATCCTGTATTGATTTGGCCATTTCCACTCAAAGTTAGCTTCTAGAGTCTCAAACCACTTCACAATATCTTCCATCCTTTTATAGGTGAGTGTTATTCTCACCCCTGATACCGTAATTAAGTATCATTAAGTAGGAACTAATCATGTTTTTGTCTCTCTAACAAGCCTCACAACACCATTTAGACCATAATCATGTCCCATACATTCATTTCTGTGTATCAAGTCTTCCACTCAGTCACTCACTAAATAACAAAAATAGTATCTTATTCCCTTTCACACTTCCGAGCGATATATAAGGCACGATGACCTGAGTCCGTTTGTCTGAAGTATACAGACGAAGTTTTGTGTTCCTGTTTAGTAATAAATCCTACAGTAAATTCTAAATCTACTATATATTTTGTACGGTATCATCAACAATGCATACTTAATACTAGGCAAACCAGACTAACAAGATTTGTAACTTGAAATCGATCTAAAGTCGAATAATGAATTTATTATTCACTAAGCCATTTCTAGGCAACTGTTCAACAACATAAGAACTGTAAAACTCTCAACAAGAATAGAAATACTTCCATGAACTTACTAACTTACTGATTGCTACTAGATATACATTAATTAATTATTGTAATAAATGTTTACTGCTTATATAATTTATACAGTATTTCTTAGCTTCATATTTACAGGATGTCAACACTTAATTGACTAGTATAGACTGCATACGATTTAAATAATGTACATGTATAAACTTACTGAACTTAGATAGAGGCTTTTCTAACGAACTTTAAAAACCACCATGGCTATCAAACCAAAGTTAGCATTTCTTTCTAACTCCTATTACAAGTAACTCTATTCTGACCGACTACTAGTATTCTCGGTACTCCTACCCCTTGAAACAACTATCTACCTGCGCCCGACACCTTTGGCCAATGTGTCCCTATCGTCCCCATTCTACAAGAATGAAACATTTAAACCAATACACCCTTCCGACCAGGATTTCAAAAGTCTTTCCACTCCTTTATTAAGTAACAAGCTAACACACTGTGTCGGTTAAACATTGTACCTATATAAATCCATCATCACCGTTATAAACTAGCCTCGAGTATTTATCTCCTAGTTATAACTTACTCCAGAATATACTTGTATAAGATTTGACTTTCTAAATTCAAAGATAACCGGCATTCCATTGAATTCGTCCCTTACTGTCTTAAGTTCGCACCTCTTAATTATGTAGTAAAGTAATAATTGCCTGATTTAGATAGGCTCGTAAATGCAGCTACATGTATTTAATTAATTAACTACGAGTGTACATATTCAACTGTCCACTATTCAATGTCATTCTATTAATATACATGTCATGCTATATACAATAATGAGTGCAATTCAAACGAGTAAGAAAGGGGGGGGGGGGAAGAAAAGAGACACTGTGTCCATGTCCAAATCTAAGGACACTGTGTCCTCCAAGACAAGCCCATGCATTGTCTATACATATAACGTTCTGTGTCCATTCCAGGTTGAAGGACACACTGTCCCTTCCAAGACAGGACGAAGAAGGAGAAAGGGGGGGGGGGGGGGGGGGGGGGGGGAGTTACACTCATGTCTGTAATAAACTGTTATATATGCATTAAATAAATGTAGATAATAAACTATAGATATACGACAAAGTTGTTTCTCCAACTCTCTCGATCCTTTATACACTTTCTATACAATATCTATATACAATATCAAGTTCATTAAAACATCATTATACGATCTACGGAGTATCACGCCCTCTAGATAGGCGAATACATGTGTTATAAGTTTAAGCGTTATACAATATTAAATATATGAATTAAACTACGGAGGCACTGGTGACTTTCTGGCCTTATTAGGTCACGAAGGACCGAAGCCTTCCTTTCCAAATATTCATAGTCTAGGAGAAAATCAAGACAACAATACAATGTAATATTTCTTATCAAACATAGTTAAACTGGCCATAGAAATTAAACTAGAAATGGCTAGACTTGAGATATGACCGCATTTGGGACAGATTGTCAGTCTGCCCAACGACCTGAATCACACTCAATTTTATGTGTCCAAATTAATCAATTAGGACACCAAAGAGCAAAATCTCTCTCTTCCAAAAATAGGTTGACCATTTCTAGATTTATTCCTTAACAATGGCAATATTATCTTCACAAAGAAGAAGATAATCACACAAAAATAGACATTTCACATAAGAAAAACATCTTTCATGTATTTGTATAATGATAATGATATCTCTATAATAATTAAACTATAATCCCATGCCAATATTCATACACTTAAGGGAGACACTGTGTCCCTAAAACGATAATGGGACGTTCCGTCCCTCTAAAAATAGGACGCACCGACCGTCCTAGACAAGTTCAAGGACGTTTCGTCCATTCACTACCGGTACTGGACATTCCGTCTTGCTTCCCCCCATCCAAACTATTACAAATATAGATGCCTATTTCCAACTTAATATATCACCATCAAAAATACTTCAAAACCTCTCTTCATATACACCACTCTGACCGCATTGATCCATAGAACAATAAAATATCCCTTTCACTCCATATTTTGGAACAATCCTAGTAAATTTGCATAAGTAAACATTGTATGAGTCACTATTTATATTCACCTTTCGCGTAACACCCTGCAAATAAAACTGTAGTCGCGTACTAGCCTGTAAAAAGCTGTCAGTCACGTACCTGGGTAACCCAGTAACCCACGCGCGGACTATTTATACTGGTTGGGTCGCGCATGAAAAAGAAAGCCGTACGCGCATATACAATCATTTAATTGGCTGCGCACCTTGGATCGCGCCTTAAACTAATGAATAATACATGAATATTAAGTTATCGATCAATAGTGGAATAAATTAAGCATTGTTTATCAACAAGAGCACATGCTACTTGTAGACTAGTCGCTCGTTCAGAGCAAATCCGTTAAAAACATGTCACAAAATAAGTAACGACTATAAAAGACATTTTATATTTATAATGTTCACAATATTTACAAGTATTGAATATATAAAGAGAAAGAGTAAGAAAGAGAAAGATCATTTTCATATATTCGTCACAATAGGTCTGGTGAAAAAATAAATGATACATAGAAATTGTTTAAAGGGAATCTCATTTCCCATATAGCAATGTTCAACAGAGTTTCTATGAACAAAATTTTGTTTCACTGTTGTGCAAGGTATATTGTGCATTACGAAGAATTAATAATGTGTTTGTTTTTTTCCTCTTGTGATTTTATAGGCGGGCCATATCTGCTGGGGGTACCTGCACAGGGGAACATGGGATCGGCCTCGGCAAGAAACAGCTCCTGATCGAGGAGGTCGGCGACGTCGGGATAAATATCATGAGGCAGATAAAGCATACCATAGATCCATTGAACATCATGAACCCTGGAAAGGTCTTATAGGACTAGTTTCTGCACCTTTTTGGTGGCCATATTTTTTAGTGCCTTACCAAACAGCCATGGACTTTGTAAACTGTAGCACTTTTGTAACGTTATGAAAGCAGGAAGGTCCTTTCATACCGAGCAAGACAGGACTCTTGATATATAAAAACTGGTGGTGTGGTGATCAACATAATGAAACAAATTGAATACACCATTGATCCAATGCCTGAACTGAATATTAGTAACCCCTGGAAAGACCTTATAGGGTTGCTGATTCGTCTAATTTTGTGATGCCTAACCGAGCAACTGTGGATTGTATCTAATACCTAAATACATTTTTATTAAAGAAGGAAGGACCTAAACCTTGAAAGAGGTCCTGGTTCAAGAGATCGCCGATCCAGAACATGAAATGGCTGAGAGCAGTCATACTGGGGACATCCGCCCAGTAGTCTAAGGGTCCATGAAGCTAATGATGGCCCAGCGGCTCAATAGTCCACAAGACTGACAATGTTGGTCTTGTGGCTGTCCAATTCTTTTTTTTTTGGACGGGTTATATATATATATCATGGTAAAAATCCACCAACACCTTGCTTGCGGTTCGTTGCAAATCCTACCCAAGATATGTTTAATATAATATAATAAATGGGTACAAATAGATACAGAAAAGCTGGATTAAGTCTTCCGGAAACAGAACTGGATACATATTGTGACATTTTTTTTAAGGGAGCATAGTTTGTGGCAAACTTGTAAAGGAGACCTAGAATAAAAACTGGACAATTGTCAATCAAAAAGTCCTCTTTAAAGTCATTTGTTAACATGATTGCACAATGGAAGTAAAACTTTAAAAGGGGTTAAACTTTTACAGAGGTTTTAACAAAATTTCCTGAATATTCGGCCTAAATGTATAGGAAAGTATGAACTGAATTGGTTTCATGAAACTGACAATCAAGCAACTTGAACTCTCACGTGGAATATGAAAAAAGTGTTGTGAGAAACTATGTATGATGGGAGTTGTGAGTCTGGCCACTTAAACAAAATTAATCTGTCACCTAATCATCTTAAGTTTCTGTCTTTTATGATATTGTCCAAGCAATCAGTGAAATATTGTATGTTAACATGTTTAAATTAATGTTTAAAACCAACTGATAGGACATATGATGTGTGGGTATAACCTCAAATATTTTCCAGTCTTTGTGTTGGATAAGTTAAATAAGTTTGACCGTTTATAAGCCAAAATCAGATTGTTGTCGTGCATGCTTCAGTTCTCTGTGCAACTCGTCTTCTTACACAACTCAGTTATTTAATTATAAAATAGTTTTATCATAGCCTCTTTCCTCTCTGATTTGATTTTTCAAGTTAAAATGTATCATTTAGCCTAAGATTATTTAAACGGACTCACAATTGTGACTGTACTATATGGATTTATAGATAAGAAGTGCTGACTATTATGTGTAAATTTTATTTTTGATTTTTGAAAATGTTTCATTTGTAAATTTGTGCAATAACATTTTTCTACATGCTCATGATTTGTATAATGGAAGCTGACATTTTCTTTATGATATAGTGCCAAAATGCATGTTTTTGATCATGAATTTTCAATAGAATATTTTACTACAGAGTCCAGTATGTGAAAGATGTACCCTGTTGAATATATGAATATGAATTAAGCTGGCTGTGTTTTGGCAGACTAAACACTTTGTATATTAAATTTTATTTTGTATACTGCCAATTAAATCTGATTGAAAGGTTTTTGACTCCTTCACGATGATGTGCATGTGTTTTGTGTTTTTAAAAAATGATCATGACAGTTATGTTGATGACCATGAAGTCAGTCTTTTATTACACACATTGTTGTGGCATGTTGATAGTTATATGATGATGATTAAACTATAAAGAAGTTATGATAGAAGTCGTAGAACGATTATACATAATTATCCGATATTAACTTTTCCTTGTATCCCCTGCAGCTAGCCCTCAGCCCCCAAATTTTGTGAGGCACATGTTGAAAATCAGTGCTAAAATCACAATCTCCCCCTCTCTCTCTACATGGGAAACAAAATAATTTTTAAAATCCTAAATCCCCAAGAACCTCTTCTCGGTCACCCTCCCCGATCTCCAGACTCAAAACAAAAACCGTATAAATATAGCGACTTGAACTAAAGCTATTATTAAATCTTGCTAAAAGTTGTGAAACCGAGCTCCGAGAAGGCCGAAACAGCCTTCATATAGACCAATTTTCCATACGAAGTTAATGCAGCTATGGATATTTTTATTGATCTTGGGAAAGAATAAATATCTAAAACCATGACTTACGCAACAGAACCTGAATTAGAGGAAAGAATCGGTCCACTTTCTTTGATTGCTTTGTACGTGTTCCTGACCGTGCTCATATACCTCATCGCAGTGTATCGTCGCGGGAAGCGACGGGAGGAAGACAATGAGCGAGTGGGTCGAAATCGGGATGGTAGAGCTGAGAAGACAAGGACAGTATTACTCGTAATTGCGCATCCAGACGATGAATGCATTTTCTTCGCGCCTTCAATCCTGGCACTCAATTCCAATCTTTCTACATCTGTACATATTTTGTGTCTTTCCAATGGTAAGTGGACCGAATTAGTTTGCTGAAATTGAAAGAAATGTTTTGTTGTTGTTTGTTTTTTGCTGATATTTGAGAATAAATTATATTGGTCCCTTTTTTGGGGGGGGGGGGGGGGGAGGTTGCACTGAAGATAGCAATCAAGAATAAGATGCCTGAATTCCCAATATATGTTGTGGTAGTGAGTGACTTCTAGTCTTTGATTTGTAATTTGTATGAAAATCAATCATCAATGTGATTGATAATGAGACTGACATGTGCATGCTTGATGTCATTCTCGTGGATATTGCTATGGCCACTAGTATGGTACTGGTAGTGGTTGATGGAAATAACCATTTGGTATGAAATGAAGCTGAGTAGCTGGCATTTTAAACCTCCCTTCAGTTTAGGCTTTAGAAGTAAAGGTGGTCAGTGGAGCCAGACGTATAGTCTTTAGACTTTAAGAGTCACAATGAAACAACTATCAAATTCAAATACAACTCGCCAGAGGAGACGGACTGAAGTGAAGCTTTCTGTCTTGTTTGTGTCGTGGGCCAATGTATTGTATTTAAGATATTAATTATAATACATTAACAAAATAAATTGGATTGGAGTCATTACTTTGCCACAATCAGAAAAGATGTGCATGCTTAGTTTTCTACTCAGATTCAGAAGAGTAATATAAATTGGTCATATAACCTTGTTGACAAAGATCTTTTGTACATCATACATGTATACTTATTCACCTTAATACTTTCTGCCCTTCGAATGTATAGGGGACTACTACGGAAAGGGAGAGTTGAGAGAGAAGGAACTGATTCAAAGCTGTGCAATCCTTGGTATCCCATCATGCAATGTGACAGTGTTGAACGAGAGGTAAGTGCATTGAATTCCAAAAGTTCACTTGAAGTTCAAACCCACATACACGTTACGAAATGGAATTGATAATTACTGGAATGTATGGTATAAGATTAGGAACTGTAATACACTTAATTATATCATTAATGATCATACAGGGGATTGGGAAAAGCTAAATTATTCCTTACATAGACTAGAGTTAGATAATTTAGTTCAATGTAACAGATATGTGATACTGAGAAGCTCATTGATCTGTTCGTCCTTTGCTCTGAATAACGAGGTAAGGAGATACTTCATGTACTTTTAAAGACAAGAACTTGAGCATAGTTTTAACTTTAAATCCTTTACCACTGTTTATTTTATGTTACCTCCTGTAATTTAATCGTGTAAATATATAGTCAGAGAGCTTGGTTGGTATCTTGCCTCTTACTGCTGTTATGCTTCTTATATACATCTAGGTACAATCGGTCTCTCTTTGTTTATTTCACCAAGCTGTTTTTTTAATTCCTACAATGTATGTTCCAATAATACTTCTAAGTCTAACACAAGTTGTCCATGAATTGACATACACATGATGATTGTTCAAACATTGCAGTGTGTGGAGCCATGAACACTATGTTTCACAAAAAATGTTCATACCTGCAGTGCACTACCAGATGACCCCAGTGTTGTATGGGACGAGGAGCTTGTCAGCAAACTAGTTCTTCATCAGATCGTCAAGTGCGATGCTCATATGGTATGTATCAGTTTTATATTTCAGCCTGGCTATCAGGGAATTCCCCACCCCAGTCTCCCTCCACACACAAACACGCTCTCTTCACCTCACTTTTCTCTTTCTCACTTAAAGAAGATAATAAAGTCTAGAAGACTCTAGAGTGTATTACATCAACTCTAATTCATATTTTGCCAATGAAAGGGGTATATATTTGAGAAGAGAGTGTTAAAATAGTAGAGATGGAGAGGAGGATGGGGGTGGGGGGGGGGGGGGGAGGCACCCACTTTATCTTAAGATTTTTCTATGTATTCTCATCATGAATGCTATAAATTTTGTTTGAAAATAGCAAAAACAAACGAAACACCATCTCTTTTTGTTGAAGCTTCCTATTTTGCCTTCTATTTCTACTTTATTTTCGCTCACATGCTTTGTTCATATCGTTACTTGTTTGCATTATTCTTTTGAAACACTTACAAATGAGTAACAGAGAAGAGGGGTGAGACCTTGTCTCCCAAAAAAGCGGACATGTAATCTATTGTGTAAAAAAGAAATAGATATCGACATTAACCAATATGTATGAGTACATGTATATAAATGAGTATATTTCAGTTATTTTGTTATAGCCAGATGTGTTCAAATTTACTACCGGTAATTAAAAAGTAGATCTAAAGTAAACACACATGAATCTAAATTTGTATTTCCAGGTTCTTACCTTTGACAAACATGGTGTTTCATCTCATCCTAATCACATAGCAGCTTACAGAGGTGTGAGGTAAGATGATCTGGGCTCATTTTCCCCCTGCATTTTCATTAGAAATATGTTGCAGAGCATATTTCCATTTAAACTGTCTTTAATTTAAGTTTATTAAGTATGGTATTGTGGCAGCAACCATTTATAGAAAGAAGAAAGTATTCTACATATTTCAAGTTAAAGAAGGTAATTGCTACGGTAGTAAAAAAAAAAAAAAAAAAATCAAGATGAAAAGAGTTCAGTTGATGTTTTGTCACCTCCCCCAAAGTAATTGTAAACATAAGCTGTTATTTTGAAATAAAATACAGTTAGTTATCAATATCTATCTCAAGAATAACGATGTAATATGATGGGAGCAGGATCTAATTATAGCACTCAAAAGCTCATACAGTTTGTAAGTGTCTTTGAAAACTAAATAGAGCTTGAGGAAAAATGTTGTAAAATCACCCTGAGAATGTTCTCTGCATAAAATGAAGACTGTGAGTGAATGAAAGAATCTTAAGTTTTAACTTTTATTCTGTCACAGAAAACTGGTTGTTGAACGTCAGCTTCCCTCAGGTGAGTACTTCGTGCTGTCTTTTTTTTCTTCATGTTGTTATCACAAAATCTATATTGTTTTAATCCTGCCCAGATAAGGGATCTGTTTACATGAATTTATAAGTTTCTAGATTTGTGCATACACGAGAACATTACACTTAAAAAAGGAATGCACACCCTTAGGGGTCTGTGATGGTACACATGCTACTTTTCATCATGAATTCAGCTTAATTCTGAAAATTGTTTTATCTTTAATGTGAAGGAAAATTATTTGAATTGTGTTAACATACTGAAATATAGTATTTTGTGGGATAAAACACTTACAGCTCTTGCTATTTTTTATTTGCAAGCCAACAATTCTTTACAAATGAAACTTCTCTCGGGATGCCTAAACATTTTTTTTTTAAATACATGTATTATTGTTATATGTTTTTGTTTGCAGGTGTTCGTGCTTTCTGCCTGGAATCAATCGGTATAGTGAGAAAGTATAGTTCCTTCCTGGAGGTACCCATTAGTTTCATTCTTAGTGCGATCAGAGGCTACAAGGTTCTGGTCTCCTCGCCCTATGGAGTTCTAAGAGCTCAGGTATGCCCATGCAAGATCTAGATGTAAAGTGTAAACCTTGGAAAAATAATTTGTTAATATTTACAATAAATCTCACAAATCTTTACCTGGTATTTCTTGGGTTGACAGTTTAAGAGTATGAAGGAATTAAAGAATAACATGAAATCCTAGAAAGGAATATAATCCAGGCTTATCCAGACTTGGGTTCTGTGCACATTCTATTTTATGTGAGCGCGTACTGGTGCGTCAAACGGTTTACTCACTAGTCACTATTATGTTTACTGAGAGTAATTTTAAACTTGCAAAAGAAAATATTGTTTCAGAAGTAAAATTTGAAGCTCATAATTTGAATTATTAATGCAACATAGAGCCCCTTATGTACAGAGCAAAATATGTGTCGGTGATTGGTATTTAATTGATACCCCTGTCCCATTGCTCGACTTACTCCAAACTGACCAACACCATCAATATATTGACCATTTGGGTGGGGGTAAATGTAATGTTTTTGGTAGGTCTTTCATTCTCTTGCAAGTAGGCCTGAGTCAAAACGGTTCCCCCGCCCGGTCCCCGACCGTCCCGCCGAAACTCCGGTTTGAATATTTGAGTTTCAGGTTTTTCAAAATTAAAATTTACACTGATATTTTGAAATAAAGAACTAAAAATATGCAATTTACAAACTTATATTTCAATTTAATTAAATAAATATGCTTTAAAAATGAATGGATATCGTTTCAGTTGACGGTAGGGGTCTTTGTCGCTCTAAAATTGAGGCTGCAAGAAAGGAATCACACTTCGTGGTACCGAGTGCGTTCAGAAACGGAAGTGGAAATATGACCCACCGAAGAATGAGCAAGAGTACCACGCACAAGACTAAAATGTTGATCAGACTATTACAATTAAATTGTTATACTAATAATAGGCATTAATTTAATCGTGGAGTGGTGAAAATTTCGGGTACCCACTCCCCGCCCGAAATTTTCAAGTCAAACCCAGGTTCGGCAAAACCCGTGATGACTCAGGCCTACTTGCAAGTCTGGTGTTGTCTCATTTAGTGTGTCTGGAGTATTCACCCTTTAGCACCTTATTAGCCTGAAACCAATTTTCCTTATTATTCTCTCAAAGCTGATATATTGAATTCTTTATCTGCTTTAAATTGATTCCTTTTTGGCATATTTCAGTTATGTGTTGTTGTATAAATACATTATGTGTATTTAATGAAAAAATTCTGACAAGTATATCTGTTGGGTATTCCATTTGATACACTTGTTGATACAGCATTGATTTTCAGCAACATCTTTCTCCTTTCCAATCCTTCCATACAGCGTGCAATGAAAGCCCATGCTTCTCAGTTTGTTTGGTTTCGTGTTCTCAACGCGATCTTCTCTCGTTATTTCATCATCAACACCATCAGGAGCCTCAAAATCAAGGAGGACTCTTAAAGCAACATGGCAGTGGAATTAAAAGATGTTTGGGGGGGGGGGGGTGTTTCACAAAGATTCTAAGTTGAGAGATAGTTTTATCTTCACATTAAAGTCCTTAATAAAATTTTATAAAAATTTTGAAGTGCCACAAGGAGCACTCGCTTTTAACAGAGAAAATAGTTATAAATACCTCCTATGAGAAAGTTATTTTGGCATTTTGCTGAAAATCATGAAAATTAAACATGAATCAGATCAGAAATCTTGCATTTTGTTACAAAGAGTCCCTAAATATCTTGTTAAAAGAAGCAATGTTGAAATTTGGCTTCAAATGTCTAATTCATTGATCCACACAGCAATTATTAAAGTAATATGCAGTTCATTTATTTTGTAGAGCTGATTTGTATGTTTTCATCAAATAGGTAAGGGAGGTAAAATAAAACATATATACAAGGAATTATGCAATGTCAGTAATCAGCACTATGTTGAAGGTATGAATTAAACAAACAATATGAATGTCATTAGTTGATTATTAGTAATAAATAATATAGGTGTGTTACTGGCAGACTGTCAATGTAATCTAAGGGAGTAGTTGAGAAGACTTATTTATAATATACCATTTTACAACTCAATATGCACATTTGAAAGTGTAGAGAAGCAATAGCAGGGTGAATTTTGTAAGCAATATTGATAATACATAGAATTATATTTCATTTTCTATTTCACACTTAAAGGTAAAGACCAGTTATGGTCATGCGATTGCATTGTGAAAGAAACGTTGTGGAATCGATCAGAAAAGGTTGATCATCTAGCATCTAGCATCTACAAGGTTCTGGAATCATCAAAATGATAAGAAATTTGGCCCATTCTTCGTAAAGTTACAAGCACTATACACAGAAAGATGTATATGGGACTACCCTATATATCTCTCACAGACCATGAGAGAAACAAATTTACCAAATATATGAATTAGTAGGCGGTTTCCTGGCAAATTTTTTATCATCATGTATTAGTCAAAACATATTCTTTCACATGATTGGTAATGAGAGCTTCCATTTCATTTTTTGAAATTGGGGCGTTTCCAATACTGGTCTTTACCTTTAAAGACTTTTGTTTGTGATATACCATTTTTGTATAGTTCATAGTGTAGGGCCAGAAACTTATGCAAGTATGAAATGTTTGTGAATTTTACAAGTGATTCAGTCTCATTAAAGTTTCATTGCTGCAAATGAATGAGTCACTATTGACAGAACACTTAATTCATTTAAATTTTTTGTGAGAGTTTCTTGCCCTGAAAACTGCTCTCACTTACAAATCGTGAAAATTGTTTTGTATGCCTCCTAAGTGATTAGGAAAATTCCACTTCCACTTTGTTATGAAATATTTTGTTTATTTCACTTTGATGAAAAATGGATTTTGTTGTCTGCAATTGTTTAGCTTATTTTGGTGCTTATAAGTATTGCTTCCAATTTACTTTTACAAGTAAATGTTATTCACTTTGTCAGTTGTAGCTTCCAGATTTTGTCTATTCTTATGCCTTTACGTTTTTTGATAATTTTATGCCATATTTATGTGTGAATTGAAACTACTATTTATGCTATGTACATGTAAGCCACACAGTGTAATATTGAAAGCGGCTTTGTGCACAAATATGTGCTCCTTTGCCACCTTTTTATAACAGTTTGTATTTATTGTAAATATTAACTTATTGTCCTTACAGATTTTCTTTTTGCTTTTAAGACAATATTTTATAATAGTTTACAGGGTGATGTTATTTACGTTTAGAAAGTATGACGAAGAAAGCCATTTAATTGTACATTGTGAGAATGTAATCACTGATTGATGTAATCATTGTTATTTGAATACAAATATAGTCATATTCAACAATCGCTATTGTCATATCCTAATTTACATTTGAGACCTGAATGATCAAAAACAATTTAGCGTCGATATAGACCATTCCAACTAGTTTTCCTTACATTTATCAAATTGGTGTGTATTATGATTATGTAATTACCGGTATAACTTATAGCATTTAAAAACATTTGTCTGATTTTTAGTGGATGACTTTGTAAAATTTGTTTTTGTTCATGTTGAAAATGTAGTACATTGTATATTTGGTACTCACTCCAATACATGTATATATGTATGATTAAGATGTACTATACGCTACTCATTCGTTGATTACTCTTCTTTTGTATTTCTCTCCTTTTTTCTCTGTAAGCCATTGAGATGATCATTATTTTTTTTTACCATGGTTTTGAGGTTGGTTTTAACAATACTTTCAATTATTTGTCATAAATTTTCTTTCTTTCTATATGTTGTGTATTAGCCTCTATGCCCATGCTTGTTTTATTACATTCTTGTACTTTGCCAGCTCTTTTTATTCATCTGTTTGTCTGTTTTCTCTTTCTCTCTGTCTTTCCCTTTTCTCTCTTCTCTACTGTATACTTTTCCCTTTGTCTCTTCTAACTTTGCCTAATTATAATCATGTTTGTTTTTCTTAACTGACACATCTGCAGATTACCGGGTGATGTAATTGTTATTCCTCAAATTGAAAATAGCATATTTGACAAATTCATATCCATTGCAAATTGTATCAAGATTCTATTCTAAAATTTTACATTTGTCGGAAGAGGATAGAAATTTGCATTTTACAAAGTCAACATTAATTTTTTAATGATTTCCGGACTTGAATAACAACTGAAATTCTGACATTTCTATCTGTCCCGTGTTCTTGTTCAGTAGTTGTGCTCGTAGAGGAAAAAGTGTGTTTGCTGTTCGTGTGTTGGAGATCACAAACATAGCCATCATTTAAAGAAGACGGCGTACGTCGAATGTGTGTTTCATCGTGTCAGTACGAGAGAGAGAGAGGTTAGGGCGAAATGTTTTGGGGAAAAACAATATATTAGTAGACGATCCGTTGGAAGAGTAGCAACAGAGACATGGAAACTCTGATAAAGCAAAGGTGTATTAAATATTGTGTCAAAGATATGAGGCGACCGATATATTTCATTCCCTTAAAATACGCGATCCGACCCTTATTGTTTTATACAGGCCCATTTATGAGTTGGAGAATTGTATATAGATATATCCTTTTTAATTTAAAAAGGACGCTCAAATCCTGCCTTTAAAATGAAACTGTTTGAACTCATTCAGCTTTGGTTGAGGGAAAGGTGAATTATCTAAAGGGGTTCAACAATAACGAAAAGTTTCAAAATTGCAGGATTTCACTTGGTAGAATTCATAACATATCTCTCGCTTGAAAGGCCTGTACTGTGCGGCAGGATATATATCGCTCGATCCGAGCTCTGTTCGATGTACCGTCTTTTCACCTTTTCTTTATTAACAGAATAATTGTTAGGCACCGCATACTGAAACAATGTCAAATCTCTGTATGCACATGCATAGACAGGAAAATCCACATTCTGTCTTAGTAATTTAGCTTTCATCCAACATGGCATGGTAGCGTGCATTTTCACCATTTATATTACCAGAAAATAAGGGAAAGTCCCTCCAGCCGACACCCGCACCGCGCACATTGCGCGCGTTGCGAGTTACGTTCACAGGTCAGTGGTTGCGTTGTATTGCCAATTTTTTAATTTAAAGAGTCGTAAGTATTATATTTTCTTAAAGAAAATTTGGAATTGAAATATAACTCAAAATATTTGAAAAGTTATTCCTTTATTTAATGATTAGTTACAAAGTAAGATATTAAAATATATTTATGGTTATTTTTGATGAATTCCCGTACCCCAAATTGGCAAAATTGTAGCGGTACGTTTGTTTATCTCCTCCCAGTCCCACATAGAAAGAAAGCCGAGATATTTTACATTATCGGTGAAAATCTACACAATCGTGCTTCTTTTTCACCCGAAAATATACCAAATCAAAAGACAAGATGTCTATTGGTGTGCCTATTAAGGTTTTGCATGAGGCAGAGGGACATATCATCACCTGTGAGACAAATACAGGTGAAGTATACCGTGGAAAGCTCATCGAAGCTGAAGATAACATGAACTGCCAAATGATGCACATAACTGTCACATATCGCGATGGACGAGTCGCGCAGTTGGAACATGTTTACATTAGGGGAAGTAAAATTAGATTTTTCATTTTACCTGACATGCTGAAGAATGCTCCAATGTTCAAGAAAGCCGGATCAAAGGGGTCTGCAGGACGTGGAAAATCTGCCATTCTGAGAGCACAGGGTACGTTATTCAATGTAAAAGCAATGGTAACTTTATGGCTGGTAAATCCGGTCACTATTGTAACTTGTTGGAAAGGAATCATTGGATGTCTTCGTGGATCATATGACGCCTGATGTGCCGGCAAAGTGTTTTGTCGTGTTGTTATTGCTATTATAACTCTGTTGAGCAAGGGCAGACAAATAATTGATTTTGTTTGTCTGTTTTATTTTAGACTGTAAAGTTGTCTGTTTCTCACCTCTCTGTCAATTTGTCATCTTCAAAAATCATGTCAGATCTCAGGATCTTTATTTTGTCTTAAACAGTAGGGGCGCTGGTCTGTAAATTATGTCCGCATAAACAAGGATTTCCTTGGAAACACTGCATAGCAAAAAGTGAGACATAGACCTCTAGATTTTTCTAGACTCTGAGTCTAGGCGCCGCTTTTCCGGTGACGGCGACAGCGTCAACATCATTCAAAAACTTAACTTAATTTTTTTGATATAAAAATAAGTTCTTACTTCTTAGTCAATGAAACTTGGACTGTAGTATCCCCAATCATGTGAGTAGAATTTCAGGTCACAAAGTTAAGGTCAACGGTCATTTCAGGTCAACAGACTTGGACTGGACTATGTTGTAGCATCATATCGAAAACTTTTTGATATAATTTTGAAAGTATAAGTTTTTACTTTTTAGTCAATAAAACTAGTTTTTAATTTTTCACATTTAGTGAATTGTAATTGATTCAACTACTGTACTTCTTGTTCAAACATAAATAATATAATAGATGTATCATGTTACTGGTTATCTTTTGTTTTGTTTAATTTGCAGTTGCTGCAGGAGGTCGAGGAGGAAGAGGACGCGGGGGTGGACGTGGTGGTGATGGAGGGCGAGGAAGAGGAAACGTCTTTCAAAGGAGGAGATGATCTGCCAAAGCACTGTATATCTTTGTACTATATTTGTTACCACTCATGAACAATCCTTGTGTACAAGATATAGGGCTAACTCAGCATCGTTCGGAAGATAAGATTCTAGAGGCAAAGTGCATGCTGATTGCAGAACCTTTTATCATACTTTACTAATGGGTACTTATGGATTCTTCTGAATGCTGGTTTTTAAGCCCCTATATTCAGTACCAAATTCTGTTTTGTATTAAGTTTGCTGGATCTTGATCTTGGGTCGAGCATCAAATTTTTACTTGACAGGTTCACTTCCATAGTACTTGTATGTTTTCAAAACAAAAGACACCGGTTGCATTTACTAGATGTTCATTTAAACTTTTCATTCTTTTGTAAAGAGTTCTTAGGTTTCTCAGTGATAGACCTTGGACTATACATGTACAGCTTTGTACTATGACTTTTGGTTGGTCCATGCACCTGGTCCAAGTGCCTTTGCCTCGCTATTAATTTCTTGAAATGTTTAAATCAAATAATCTTGTAAAAGACTTTTTGAAAAACTTGTATCCTGTGTACTCGATGTGTAACACAACTTTTGTAAGTGATTTGTACTTTATTTAGTATCTTATCTTCAATGTTCAGACAATGCCCAGTTAGCCTGGTGCTGTACAAACGTTGTACCCAGGTACAAGTAAAACCTTTTGATATATATGTGGCTGTCCAAGAAAGGATGCATCATGGACTGGAATGTTATTGCATGAGAGAAGGTCACATCTCATCACTAAACCTGGACTCCCAGCATGGAAGACTTGCTCAGGCACATGGTTTCTCTTGAGTATCTTCTATTCTGCTCATCATCATCTACGTTCTTGACTTCTGTTACTATTTTTAATTTTGATAAAGAAAAGATGCTGCTGAGATATTATTAAAAATGTGTAAACAAACAAGGATATTGTGCCCTTTCAAGGTACATTATTTTTGGGGGAAAATTGTTGAAATGTAATTTGAGAAACGCATTTGAGCATCACAGCTCTCCCTCATTTTTTTCTTCAGATTTTCAGTCATATCTGTTGATGCTGTATATATTTTCATCCTTGAAGGGAAAAGCTGCTGTCATTGAAGAGTAATTAGTCCTGAATTATCTTTAGTATTTCTAAGCAAACATTGAGTGCCTTGCATTGCTACAGGATCCATTTGCTAAAATAGGTGTCCACATTTCAGATGTAAAACATGATCATAATTAGGTAAAGTCGAGTATTGTCCAGTACTCCTGTAATAACAAGATAGTAATGTGATCGATACCTGTACAAATAAGGATTTTCTGTGCCAACCAATTGTAGTTGTTTATTAAATGCCCTGAAGAGTGACCAACCTCCTTCATATACATGGAGCGTTTTATCGAGATATTTGAAAATAATTCCCTCACTTCCCTCCAAGTTCATCAAAGCATTACAAATCAATTTTGATAACCCTTTTTAAAGAAAAGTTGGATTTCGTCATTTAAGACCGTTGACCTTCAATGATCAAGAACTGATATCAACATTCCTTTTGGCTATGTTAACAATTCAATAACCTTGATTTGACTTATATTGTGTATTGATACGGAACAGAAAATTATGTGAGCAATGCAATGCAAATATGCAAATATTTTCAAAGTGTGGGAGGATGATTTTGTAAAAATGATGTTGATAAGTACTAAGTAGTACAACAGGTGTATTTCTGCATTCATCAGTGAAACACATCTTGTATGGGGGTTGTCAAATCTTAACATAGTAAAAGGAAAGAATTTGCTTGACTAAAAGCCACAAAGTATTTTACATTGTTCAAGACATACACTATAGATGTACATGTACAGTCATTGTCATGGATACTTTTTGTAATTATTGTTTTTATAGTTTTTGTCCGAGTGCATCATGTAATCAGTTACGTTTTCCCTTCACCAATCGTGTACATGTGTATGAATTGTGAAGTATGTAAATTCAGACAAGTTCTTAGTGTACCATATTAAAAATACCAGTAAGCTTTTTCAACTAGACATGCACTTTTCATTTCCTTCTTTTTGCAGGGGTTCTGTGAACTGCTTTAACATATCTAATACTCATTTAAAGATATTGTTTAACATTTTGAAATTGAAGGGGGTCCTGCTTTCTCTCAAACTTGTTTGGAGTCAACTATACGACTGTACACAGGGGGCTAGAAAGAGTGTTGTAAGCCAAGTTGGGTGATGTCTATAGTTAGATTTCCTCTGCTGCCTATTTTCCTGTCTTTCCAACAGATAATTATAACCCAAGAAACTCATTTTTCAGAATTGATTAATCAAATGACAGTTGGTTTTGAAGCAGATAACTAAAATGCAAAATTCTTATTATTCATTATTTTTCCAAATCTCAACTTTTACAGGTAATATCAATAACTACATGGAGGATTTCTCTTACACAAATCAGTCTCACACAAGTAGATTTGGGTAAAATACATGTATTTATTTCACATAGATATCAACCTTATTTTTAAGTTGTAATTTCAAAATCACAAGTAGAACTGCATGACCTCGATAATAAGGTAATTAAGATAAATTGATAATTCTTCATTAAGAATCTGGCAAAATAGAAGATGAATGATAAATCTTGATACCAGTATCAATAAATGTTGTCAAATGATTTCTAAGTTCTTACACCCATAACTCTTCCATATTCTCTGCTGTATAATCATTACACAGAAGCACAGCAACCCTGACTAAGATCTGAACATAACATTTCCAAACCTGAAAAAAGAACACATCATAATCCATTCAATGTTGACCTGTTCCTATTTATATAACAGATCACACATAAGTGTTAATGTTTTCATGATACTACATGTAAATATACTTATGGCCCAATAGAATTCATGGTCGCCGTTATACACCTCCAAAAGACACTTGTTAACTATTTCTTTTTCTGCAAACAATCAATTATATTTAACATCACACTGTAAATTCTACTTCAGTGATTCTGACACTTTTACTGCAAGTTAATTGATTAAAGAAGAAATGGCCTGTCTTCAGATAATAAAACAAATGGAATGCTAAAACAAAAAAGTATTGCACAAGATTTCTAGAAGAAAAAAAAAAGGTGGAACATTTGTCTACATGATAGCAAATGATGGCTCTTTCAGTATAAATGTCCTGCTAATATCAAATGAAATGATAAAAATGAACCCATTATAGACAAAAATGTTCGGTGAAAAGGGTGGAGACATTACCAACAACAAAAAACTTAATATTTAAAAAAAATGGACATGTACCATATGTCCAGACATTTCATTATTTATCCCAGCAGTAACCATTTATTTTGACAGAAAAATAAATATAAAGTTGCAATTGGGGCTTTCCACACAATGCACTCTTTTTCATTCATGGGCTGTCAACTCAACTCCTTGAACGTAATTTACGTAAAGTAATTTTGGCATTTCAGAAATATATGCTACATATAATGTTTTAATTAACCCAAACCTGCATGAACTGGAGAAGATCGGATAGTGCAAACTTGCTTTTGGATACCAAACTTAAGTTCTTGGCCGTTCTTTTTTAAAATAAATTTTTAAACTAATTATTTATTGTACATCATCAATTCAATATAAGACACATGGAGAGAATACTTTTAATATTTCAGAAATATATATGCACTTTGTTTTGTTTCTACCTGTACATGTAGGTATGACAAATGTAAACTACTAGCAGCATTAATAACACGTCCAATTCCTTCCTCATTTAGTACAAAATAGCAGAACCAAAGTATGTAACTGATTCAATAGAACCCTTCAAATCATTGTTGGCCAATATTGTTCAGGATAACAGCTACCCAAAAAATAAGAATAAGCATATTCAAATAGAAGATTGCAAGAGGCAGCCATGGCAAGAAATAGAATGGTATGCATTCAAACAAGGAAAAGATGAATCATGGATGATGAGAAGAATGACTACCTCGGATTCTGGTCGAAAGAAGAAACTCAAGGTTGAGAAAATATTGGAAGGGAAAATAAAGATGCATTTGTATTGGAAATGTTATCACTGGGAGAGTAAAAGAGTTGGAACGCATAATGGGATAGAGCAAGTGGGTCAGTGAATAGTTTGTTTTGATAGGGTCTGGCAGGTGTGGAGAATATGGGGGAGAGAGAAAGAGAAAATGTAGGAGAGGTGAGAAAAGAAAAGAGAGTGAGAGAGATGGCTAAACTAGAGCAAAACACATTAAAATTAAACTACAACATGATGACTATTAATGACACAACAGTAATGGCTCCCACTAACTTGTTCTTTTTTCCTTAAATGGAAAGTTCTTTAAAAGTATTACAAGAATACCTAAATAGAAGTTTTCTTTTAAGAATTACAAATCAAGACGAGTTGTTTAGATGTGTTGAGCAGTTGGGTCAATTGTTTTTGTCATAAAATATATCCAACACCTACGCAAAGTACAAAATCTTCTCAAAGAAGGTAAACATAGCTGTCCCTAGTCCAAAGGAAATTCTTCAACACAATTTGCAGATTACATCAAAGAGTCTTTATCTAAGGTGGAAGTCTAAAGCCCATTCACATACGGTATGCCCCATTACACCGCTCCTTTTTAGAAGCGTCTTTATAAGCTACTGCGATTCACATATTTTGTATCTTACAACACACGTACAAATGACTAAGTGAGTACGCATAGGACTTTTGTTGAGCGAAGCTACTTTTTATCATCTCCCCTTGCAATTCATTTAGCACATAAAGAACCCCTGCAGCATATGTGGATGTGCCTCACTGTCGTCAAGATGTTTAATGAGACGTGATCCACTGTTCCAGCTGCTCAACTTGCGTCAAAACACACTGTTTGCTGGTGCCTCCGGAGCTGGTGTACTGTTCAACGCTGTTCTCATAGTCCCATACACCCACAACATCTTCCTCAAATAATGGGCTGGAAACAAAAGATCGGAGACAAAATACAAGCTCAAGTTAGTGATTAGCCTGTAATGCAAAAATATAAGGAGATGAATCTTGGGATATATCTAATACATACTGTCCCATCCTTAGTAAAAAAAAAATTCAAAAAGAAACAAAAACAAAGTGAGACAACACTCAACAAACGTGCAGATATTCATTTTTTTTTTTTTATTATCCTAACAAAGGTTGAAATCGCATTTTTTTTTTTTAAACATTCAGAATAGAATAAAGATTTCATAATTTTTGCCCAATCTAATAATGTCATACTGTATATCTCCATACAGCTACCAATGCAAATTAAGTATTTTGCAAATAGGTTTCTATGTAAGAGAAAGCTATATTTGTGTCTCTTGCTGTAGATACAACCAGATTTACTCTGATGTATATATGTAATTGGTCCTACTTCCTCTCATTCTCATTGCTTCACGTAGGTTAAAATTATCTACCATAAACAAGGCAATACATAATTTTGTCTGTTTGAAGATAGAAAGGTGTTAACTCGTACAATGTCTATTAAACACAAGTTAACGCCCATCTGGCTCCAAACAAACGGTACACACATTACTCCCCTGGCAGAGCAAGAATGTGGTATGGTAACCCTCAAAGATAAAAAGAAGTATATGACCCCAAACACTTTGTTTTTGAATAATTTGGAGTTAATCTTAAGTGGTTTCGGTCATGATATGATTTCAAAATCCTGAGAATATGAGGATCGCATTTACTAGAATTTGTGTCTTCCAACCTTCGAAAACACAATTGGGAGGTCATGGGTGAAAGGTGAAACTAAGATGAACTTACTGGATGGTCTGGAGATCTTTCAAAGTCAGATCGGTGAGTGAACAAGTCTTCTGCTCTGCAAGGGCTACACACTCTCCTGATAGACCATGGGCTTCACGGAATGGAACCTGCCGTGGGACAAAAAACATGGAAGGTTTGAGATTAGCTCAATCTTTTTTTTTTTTCCTTTCCTTTTATCTTTTCTGTCTCTATATCTATCTCTCTTCAACCATCTCTCTCTTTATCTCCTCATCTCTCACTCTCTTGCATGATCGTCTACTCTCACTCTTTCTTCCTCTTGGAAGGTGGAAGGTATAAGATTGCAGCTGTATCTTTTGTTTCTTTCTCTCTCTATCTTTTCTGTCTCTGTATCTATCTCCTTCAACCATCTCCCTCGTTCTATCTCTCTCTTTCTCCATCTCTTCCTTTAGTGCACTCTCACTATCTCCTCATCACTCGCTCTCTTTCATGATCTTCTTCTCCCACTCTTTCTTCCTCTCTGTCTGTTAACATATGTTAAGAACAAAATCATTAGGGCTGCAAGATCTTTATCTACATGTAGATCTGTTCCCCTCTCTCTCTCTCTGTCTTCTCCATTCCTTGCTCAATTTTTCCACTCTGTCTGTTGCAAGTAAACTTTACATTTTAAATGAGATTTGACCCACAACATTTACACTTCGGGACAGAGAAAAGGGCTGGTATACTCACCCCTTTCCTAACCAGGTAATAAGCCAGATCGGTCGAGAGCATATCTGGGCTGAGGGCTGCTCTCATCGTCTCTGGGTTGATGGTCAAGGTGGAGATCACACCGGTAGCTACCTGAATAACACCTGCACAGAAAAAACAAGTGATACAATAAAGAGACTGTCACAAACATGAAATGTTCAAGACTTTTGTTAGTGGTTCAAATTTTGTAAAGTTTAAATCAAAATATTAAGAACTTGGGTATCATCGTTAAAAATAATGCTATAACACCAGTTATTGTATTGAGCATGAAATGTTCACCAATTTTGCTCGTGGTTCAAAATTGCTGAAGTTTAATCAAAGTTAAGAAAAACATGGGTATCATCGTTAAAAACATAACGTGAATGTAATAGATTAATAAACATTACTCAAAGGATAACAAGTATAGATTATCATATTTCATTTTCAAACTCTACAGTACCTGAGACTATGGGACTTCCCATTGTTTGGGGCATCAAACATTTTCTCTAACAACATTCACTCCAGGCTATCTTTCATGAAATATAAAGGGTTACAACTTGGCTAATGATTGGTTTTAGGTTAGGGTGATGTGTTGAGTTTAATCCTGGTTCGGTGCAAGGAATTCAGATAGTATTAATATTTCACCAGGAAGTAATTGCCTTACAATCTGCTGCTCCATGTCCTTTATGATATTCAAAGGAGCAATGTGCTAATATAGATATACTGGCTGCCATGAGAGGCATAGCTGGTTCTAAAGGCTCAAGGAGACGTTACATCCTGCTATGGCCCCGAGGTGCCGCACAAAGAAAGTCTTTACCGGGAAACCAATGGGGATCTCAGCAAAATTTATTTATGCGGCCTGTTACGCTCTATCGACCGGTAGGCGGGCATAGCTAAAATCACGACTCCAATCAGATGATTAAGTTTATTCAACATACTAAAGAGAGGTATATAAAGAGCGATACACCACACATTTACATTGTCACTCTACTACCATACCATCTTACCTGTAAGGGTATCGTAAGAATCAAACATTGCCTCTTTGTCTTCTTGGAGGTCCTTGTTGTATGTACTAGGTAGGCCCTTCATCGTCATCAGGAATCCAGAACACTGGAGATAAACACACACACACAAAGGAGAAGAGTCAAACAAATTCTAGATACTGTAAGAATCAGACCCTTTCTAATGCAAGAGACTCAAGTGACTTTTGTGAGTAGTCCAGACTAGCACAAACTTCATGCCACAAGGTGATTGACGAATAAATCATGAATTGACAGAAGTTCTTGCAAAAAAATTGGTGTCATCAACAATTCAGGTCAAATATTTTGTTCAAAGGAATATAAAACTTGGGATATATGCATTATTCTTAAGACATCTTAATGTCAGGTAATTGAGAAACTGGCCACTTGTTAATTCAACAGTGCATTGACTACACATGCGTCATTGGCACTGGCCACACAAGCACATTGTGTCTTTGTTGGCTATCTACTGTATGTATGGAGCCCAAAATGCCCTGATATATTCCCCATATTCCCCTGAAGAGCTGATCGACTCACCTTGCCAAAGACTCTTCCTGTCTTTCCTCTGATAAGCTCAAGACTGTCTGCATTCTTCTTCTGAGGCATCAGGCTACTTCCAGTACTGAACAGAATACAGATTGTCATATTAAATATTATACAATGCACTCCTATATCCTCATCAAATGATTGGTCAAACACGGTCACGTACAATTTATTTACTGAGATTTCCAGAGGCAGCATATATTGACTTTCCATGTTACATTTCCAAGTCAAGTATAATAATAATAATAATATTCCGCTTTTATAAAGCACTTAATACAAATTTCTCTAAGCGCTTTGCAGATATAATTTTTTTACATCCATTTCTACTACTATACAAAGGACTTCACATTATTGAAGTTCTACCCTTTCTCATGTATTTGATCTTACCCTAAGCATTAAGAAATGTCCCTTCTAGGGTATCATAAGTTCTCACTTACCTGTAAGCATCTGCTAGTTTGACAAAGCCGAACTCCTTGGAGCAATAGAGGATGAGATCTTCAGAGACTTTACTCAGATGGACCATCGTCAAAGAGGCCCAGAAGAGAAACTCAGCGACAAAGTCACGCCCACTCGTACCATCCAGGCTGTTGGGTGCAGGACTCGCAAATCTCAGCTCTGAAGATGAACAAACAAATGTATACATCCTTATCAAATGATTGGTCAAATATGGTCACATGTGATTCATTTACTGAGACTATCCCATGTTTTTTCATGAAGAAGCTTGCAAAAGTTTCAAGTAATATCCAACACCAGGACTGCACATAAAATGTGTATAGAGGTAAAGAGGCTTAACAATCTTGAAATGAATTCTCTAAGGTGCACAAGCACAATACTGCAAAACATCCTCAACAAATTTAGTGTTTCTTATCTACATATTTGTCTCTTTATTGATTTCTAAGCATACTTTCATGTTATATTGTAAAACAGCATCTGAGGAACTAACACTTCAACAAACTCTGCTTCAAGTTAGTTCCTCTTTTCTCCATTATATTTGTTGTTTTATTGTATATTTTTTTGTGATATAATTATTCTTGTATTATGATGTTTTGCATGAGAAATAAAACCATTTGAATCATATATATATATATATGTATAAATATATGTATATATATATATACACCGGTATTTGTTCAATATACTCCAGAGTAAAAAGAAAATATATCTGCATACCTTTTGCCAGGAATTCTCTGTCTACATTAAATGGATTTCCAGCAAGAGCACCTCTGTTATTTAATGAGAAAATAAATGAGAAAACAGATGAATAAACAAAGGTGGGAGACAGAACAAGAGGAAGACAAAAATGAGAGATATAGGGACAGCATATGAAAAGAGAAACGGTTGAGAGAGAACTGAAAACGTGAAAGAGAATAGAAATATCTCGTTCAGTTAAAATTAACTTTATGTATCATTCATCTTCAAGCTTAGAAGTAGTGATCATTGATCAATGAATAATACAAATACAGTTATGAACAAAAATATGAAAACTTTCCTGGTTACTATGAAGTATGAATAAGAAATATTACTGGTAAACAAAAAGAGCTTTATAATTTTTTTAAATCATCTTATACATTAACCCATTTCCTACAGAAACAGTGTGATTCCTGTATTAAGACAAATGGAATGAGATAATTGAGAAGTGAATGGATTAAGACTTACCCTCCAAGGGGCATAACATTAACCCGTGCTTGGAGCTCCTTCAGTCTCTGAGCATCCCTCTGTAAAGCCGTGGCGTGGCTGGATTAAAAAAGATAAAATATAGTTTACATACACCCTCATATACTATGTACATTTGCGATTAACCTAAAGCGATCTACAAAGAGTAGTCAAAGCACTTGAATTAAAAGGTGTGCATAGAACATAATTCTGACGGTATTCTTTATTTATTTACTCCTTAACCTACAGATTTGAGTGGTAAATTTTAGGGGATTTTTATTGATATGTGACTATCTAACTTGACTTGAAGCAGAAATTTATTTGTTCCACATTTACATTCCAAAGCGAAATTCAGATTCACAAAAACTGTGGAGTAACAAAACAAAACGGTCAGATAACTAAATGAAGAATGATGTACGATAAATAGCAAGGTGTTTTGAGAAAAGTGTTGATATGACAGATAATACAAAAGAACAATGTAAGATGTGAGGAGCCTATTAATAAAAAGCAAAGCTCTTACAACATCAGGCTCCTGTGAAGAGTACTGTTATACAAGTTTGACTGTTCCGTAAGAGGCGAAACCTTGTCCCAGCTATAACTGTAATTCTTTTATTAAAAAATTTAATGATTTAATGCTGTTTAAATGAGTGAACTGTGATATAGAGCTAGAGTAAGAGAGCATACACAATGTGACTGGACACAAAATAGAAGAGAGAGAAAGAGACATAGAGGCCTTACCTTAGAAGCCAATGACTCCATCGGATAGGTTGTGCTCTCTGAAAATGTACAAAGAGAGATGACATCTTCATATAATATATTCAATACACTCTAAACCTTAACATATTTCCTACATGTTTGAATTTACTGCATGTGCAAACGCAATGTACATGTAACTAAATTAAAAAACCAGAAAAAAACAATTAAATCCTGAGGTTTGGGATTAATGAATGAATATTCTACAATACAATTAACATAGTTTCCTAATGTCATGCATGTTTATGGAAATCACTGGTATGTACTTCAGTTTTCATTGACCATGACCATGACGGAGTGCAGACGTGTTTCGTTGCCGCTCTGAATTTCCTTCGCTATGCTACGCCGAAATTGACCGTAACTTCATATTTTTCCTGGAATTTGTGCTAGAATTGTATATATGGTGATCTTCAGAGGAATTTTATATTGACAAGCTACTGATTCTAGGGGAATTTTGGAATACCCCGTACGTTTACTATCCTGAAGTTTTGTGAGTCACTGTGAAATATGACTAAACGCGCAACACGGTCTTCAATGACGGACATGTCGGAGAATATAAAAGATGAAGTGCGTAAAGTGCTTGACATCAACGGTGAGTTGGTAGACATTCTTACGCTAAGGATCAAAGATATTCTCATTGATGAATTGACAAATGTTATTGCTGACAAGGTTGCTCAATCTATGAAGGAGAGTATGGAGTTTGATCTTGCTGAGAGAGACGAAAAGATATCTGTTTTACAGAAGGAGCTACATGAATGTCGCTGTCAGCAGGATGAAATGGAGCAATACTCCAGGAGAAATTGTTTGATTTTTCATGGTGTTAATGAGAGAGAAGGAGAAATCACAGATGTTATAGTGAAAGATCTATGCAAGGATAGGCTGGACATTGACATCAGCGCCAAGGACTTGGATAGATCACACCGTTTGGGTCAATCAAAGGGGAAGAACAGAACAAAACCCCGTGGAATAATAGTCAAATTCACAAATTACAACGTTCGTAATCGTATCTACCAAGGTAGGAGGAATTTACGTGATCAACAAGGACCTCCCATTTTCATCCAGGAAAACCTCACCAAACTTAGGACTGATTTATTCTGGGAAATCAAATCAAAACTGAAAAACGACATCAAGCATGTTTGGACTCAAGATGGCCGCATCAAAGTTGTAACTAGTGATGATCGACGGGTAACGCTCACAAACAGAGATCACCTAAAGCGGATTAAACTGTCTTCTTAGTACACATTTCAGAATGTGTACTATAAATACTGTACTAATTACTTTGACTATAAAACAGCTATTCTTTACGCTTCTTAAGCCTCCGCCAATTATAAGTTCCTAAGCACTTTTAATTGGCCAAATCTTTAGTACACGTCATTATCTTTTCTTTTGCTGTGTGCATACTGAACAGGACCATTCACCCATGTCATACAAAGGGATCGAACGCTACAGGGCGTCATAATGCACATGCTGGTCGTCGAACCTTAGTCTGTTTCATTGGATAGTGACTGAATGAACTTTTACACTCGGCGTAGATTTTAAGTGGTTTACCTATAATCTTTTTTTTTTAATCCTTATTCCTTTTTACATTACTTTATTTTGTCTTTGTTTTTGCTTTTTTACGTATACTGTTAAATAATGGTAGTTTGTGACTCCCCTTTCCCTTTTAGTAACCTTTCCAACTTAGAATTTGACTGTTTATTCCTAGATACGCAAACTGAGTTTGATAATAATAACAAAAATAACACGTATGGTACGAATAAGAACCCGAATGAAGAGGATCATTTATCGGATATAGACCCTGACGTTAATTGTCCTGTACTTGATAGTCCAAATAGATACTGGCTACCAGCTGATTTTAATTCTGAAATGAACTTTGATATTGATTCATTAAGTTTACTCCATTTTAACGCAAGAAGCCTAAACAAAAATTTTGATAATATACATGAATTTATTACGAAACATATAGATACTAACTTTTCAATATATGGTTTCAGTGAAACATGGATACACCCATTGACACCAAAAGAATTATTTCGTGTAGAAAATTACAGTTTTTTTCATCGTGACAGAACAAAGAGTAGAGGTGGTGGAGTAGCTATGTTAATCCATGATTCATTGAATGTAAAAGAAAGAGCGGACATAATTTTGGCGCAAAATTTATGTGAGTCTCTCTTTCTAGAAATTGAAAAATGTGATAGGAAAAATGTAATTGTCGGAATTATTTATCGTGATCCTAATTCAAATATAGCTGATTTTAATGATGAGGTAAATACGTGCCTTAATAAAATGTTAAATGAAAACAAGGACATATATATTATGGGTGACTGGAATATAAACTTACTGAACGCCTCATCAATTGCAAATGTGAATGACTTTGTTAATATTATATATAATAATTCTTTTCGACCCTTAATTAACAGACCCACGAGAATAACACGAGGCTCGACAACCCTTATTGACAATATATTAACAAATGTCTGTGAAAAACAAATATCCTCTGGAATATTATATAATGATACAACTGATCATTTACCAATTTTTTCTGTTACCCATAATACAAGGTCCTATCCTAAAGCTGATGACAATATAAATTTTACTGAAAGATGTATTAGCCAAGAAAATATTGATGGTTTTAATAAAGATTTACTCTCATTTGATTGGATTGATATACTATCATTACGTAATATTGATGATGCATATAATAATTTCTTTGAAGTATTCAAACTAATGTTTAATGATAACTGTAAAATGGTAAAGAAGAAAAAACCTAGGTCTTCGGCTAAAAAACCTTGGGTAACTCAAGGATTGGTAAAATGTATTAATAGAAAGAATAGTCTACATAAATTATTTTGCCAAAATCGTACTAAATCGGTTGAAATGAAATATAAGAAATATCGAAACAAATTAAATGAAATCCTAAGAACGGCTCGTAAAAAGTATTATTGTGACTTGTTAACCAAGAACAAGCATAACCTTAGGAAAGTTTGGCAAATTATAAACGATTTAATGTGTAAGAAAAATAAAAAAAACTGTCCATTATATTTTATGAAAAATAATGTAAAAGTATATAAAAATGAAGATATAGTAAATGAATTTAACAATTTCTTTTCTAATATTGCTGCAAATACCTTAAAACAAATTTGTCATAATTCTAGAGAAAAATTTAGTCACTACCTTAAAAATCCATGTCAAACTTCTATGTATTTTTATCCAACCAATGAATTAGAAATCATCAAAATTGTTAAATTGTTTAAATGAAAATGAGTTATAGCACTGGCTTTGATGATATCAATACTTTTGTTGTAAAAAAAGTAATCTATTCCATATTAACCCCTCTAGTCCATATAGTTAACCTATCTTTATGTTCAGGAGTAGTACCTAATAATCTGAAAATTGGAAAGATCATTCCTGTATTTAAAAAAGGCGATAAACACTTATTTTCCAATTATCGACCAATTACATTATTACCATGTTTTTCCAAAATCCTAGAAAAAATTGTTTATAAAAGACTAATTTCTTATTTGGATAGAAATAAAATATTAAATAATTGTCAATATGGCTTCAGGGCAGGACATTCGTGTGAACATGCATTAATTGATTTAAATAACATTCTTTTAACTAATATTCATAATAATTTTCCCTCGTTTGGTATATTTCTAGACTTGTCAAAAGCCTTCGACCTCATAGACCACAACATACTTTTATATAAATTATCCCATTATGGTATCAGGGGAGCAGTGTGGGAATGGTTCCAGAGCTACTTACTTGATCGACATAACTATACTTCATTTAATAATTATAATTCCCATTACTCGACAGCCCAGTATGGTGTCCCTCAAGGCTCCATACTGGGCCCGCTCCTTTTCCTAATTTATATTAATGATTTATGTACAGCGTCTTCTTTTTTTGATTATGTCTTATTTGCAGACGACACAACTATCATTTCAACCCATAGCAATTTCATTTTTTTATTAGAAAAAACCAATACTGAATTATGTAAAATAGCCGATTGGTTCGATGCTAACAAACTGATTGTTAATTATGAAAAAACTAATGTTATGTATTTTAGAAAACCTCATGTATCACACAATTCTTTAGATTTTCATATAAAAATGAAAGATGTTACTTTAAATCTTGTTAACTCTGTCAAATTTCTAGGCTTTATACTTGATGATAATCTATCATTTAAGGAACACCGTTTTTTTATAAGTAATAAGATGTCAAAGAACATAGGTATATTATCTAAATTACGTAGTACCCTTACAGAAAAGCACCTGTTAATGCTTTACAACTCGTTAATACTTCCCTATATTTATTATGGCAATATACTTGGGCAAGTTGTGGCACTACTAAATTGACCCCTTTACATAGACTGCAAAAAAAGGCTTTAAGTATATGTTCGAATTCCCCTTACTTAGCTCCGTCACGCCCATTATTTGCAAGATTAAACACATTGACAATTTTTGATATTCATGAAATCCAAATTGCGATCCTGATGTATTACGTGAAACATAATTTAGCACCTCTTAATATAACAAATTTGTTTCAGTATAATAAAGACTACCACCAATATAATACCCGTTCCCACTCCAAATTCCATTTACCATTAGCACATAATCAATCGACTCTTATTGCATTTAAATCTGCTGGTCCTCGAATATGGAATTCCCTCCCTTCTGATGTAATCTCCAGCACTAATGTTACTTCATTTAAAACCAAACTCAAACGTTCAATAATAACTACCTACGTCAAATAAACATGTAATTTCATCTCTCCTCCCTACGTTTTTTTTTTTATTTTTTTTTATTTTTTTATTTTTTTATTTCGCCTTTTCCTTTTCCCCTTTACCTGTATGCTTAGTGCTTAATGTTTTGATTTTTTTGTTGTTTTGTATAACTAAGTTTGTTTGTATCTCATGTTTTTTATGCTATGTATATTTCTTTATGTATAGGGGGCCCCATTCATCAAGCCTTGGCTTTTAGGGGCACCCTGACCATTTACACTGTATCAATAATGTTCATACACGCATAATTTGTATATTGTTTTTGATTTTAAATGGTTAATAAAACGAATTGAATTGAATTGAATTGAAAAAAAAATTTTTTGTTGCTTTCATTGTTATTTTCATTTTTGAGGGTTTTTTTTGTTTGTTTTGAATTTTAACAGTTATTAATACATATTCTGAAGAGGACGTGAGCACTAACCTGCATATGAGTGTATCCTGGCATCAGAACATCTACCTCCCTGTGAACAAGACATTAAATATACCATAAATAATAAAGAGAGAGAGAGAGAGAGAGAGAGAGAGAGATTAGAAGGATGAAAACCATATATATAATTTGGATTGTGATTCTATTTGAGAGGTGACAGGGTACTTAAAATACTGAATTTAATAATAACTCACTCTCTCGCTCTGTGTATGAGCATATTGATGAGGTCTTTAATCCCCTCTCGCTTCAGTTTCACCAACACAGCCTCAAGAAATTGAAATTTGTTACAAGTGGCGTTGTATGCCACAGCGAAGTTACTAAAGTCTAGGTTTACAACTCACCGTCAGTCTATGTACAGAAGCATAGACAGGATAGAACTTAGTTTAGAACGATAACAGTTTGTCCAACTCTGGCGTAAAAATGTCTCCTAAATTGACGTTCTTGACCTGTGCAAACTTTTCCAACTTTGAGAATCCATACTTTAATTGAAATTTTCATGCTAGTCGCATCTGAATCATCCAACAATTTAGATAATTCTTCTTCTTATAGAAACTGGAAAATCAAATCGCCGCCGCGATTTAGCATCTTGTTTTGGGTTTGGTTGTTTTCCTTCAGGAGAAGAGAGAAAGTGCAAACAATCGGGATATCGGTGTTATCGATTCCAATATCGCATATATCGTGTTGATATCGCGTGCATCCAGTAAAAATAACTACACAGTAATTGACCAATCAGATTGCAGGAATGCTTCTAACCATCTTATAATATACTGAATTGAATAATAACTTACTCTCTCGCTCTCTGTATGAATACATTGATGAGGTTCTTAACCATGGGGTACATGCATTCTAGACTGTCTCTCAGCCACAGCCTCATGTCCGTTGCACACTGAGTAAATAAACATACAAAAGTGGGAAGCAAGGCTCGATTGTCAAAGAGCTGCAATTGATATGCGTTGATCTCAATACCTTTCTCTGTGACTTCATCAAATTTTATGAACTGATTCCTGTCAATAAAAAATATTAAAAAAGACACAAAACAACTGATAATTGATGCTGTGACAATAAATATTTGCTGAACACAACCATATTCCATATTTATTTGACACAAATGTTCAAAGTATCATTTTACAATCCCTTTGTGTTCCACACATTTGCGTAAGTTAATCAATATAAAGATAGATAGTTCCCGCTTATTTTATCTACTAATTGTTACTTTTTACAGTCTATATCAAAAAGATATGTGTATATCATGGTGATTTGAACTATTTTTCCATAAATTAAGTGAAATAATTCTATTGGCTGTAGATGATTATTCTGACAATTAATTTTGTACCTGGTCATTTCTGCTCCTGCCAGTGTGTAGTTTGCCTGCGACTGACCCAATGTATTCTTTCAGTCTCCTCTCATTGGCAGTGTGAATGTCTTCATCTCCAGGCTGAATGGTAAACTCCCCCTTCTCCCACTCCTGTGCTACCTACAGAAGTGAAAGAGTGAAACAAAACATGGCACCACTCTAGTCTTTCTTATTGGCAGTGAAGAAAATATGACACCACTTAATTATGGTTTAGCTTATATGAGGGATGCGACAGAGAAATTTCCAAAAAGGGGTCCGAGGGCAACGCCCCTGGCAGGAAATAAGGGAGCAGCACCCCCTCTACATGGGTGAAGGGGTCGAGCCCCCTTCCCGCAGAAATTTTAGAATATATTTTTACGTAAAGGACACTTTTTCCTTGCATTTAAATTCTAAATTTCAGAAATATTTGTTACCCTATCTTACTTAAAGGGACTCTATAACATTGTTCAGATGAGAGATTGTACACATAATATCTGGTATTGAGAAAAATCATCAATGTTTATTCAAGGAAAATTAATGGTACTTTTCATGAAAGAAAATGAATATTATGAATTATACATGTACAGTGTATAACACTCTCTCTCTCTCTTTCTCTCTCAGACACCCACCCACCCAACCCACTTTTTAGTGAGGGAAAGTAACGTTGAATTTAAATAACAAAAGAGAAATTATATGAATTAAATGTGATTTCGACCCATACAAAACTCCCTCACAAATTCTACTCCCCCCCCCCCCCCCCCCACACACACACAATGCACTTCTGGGCAGGGTCATTGAAGGAAAGAGCCACCCTGAGGCTATAGATATTCATCTTGAATGGCTGACTTGAGTGGTTTGAAACGTGCTCGTCACTGCTCGGACTGCACCAGTCTGTTATTACGTGGAGATGGAGCTTCTATCAGCTGTACTGCTTAAAGGGAGGTACTCCCCTGGCCCTGAAATTATCATATATTATTCATGTTCATATACGTATGCAGTAATTCCTGCACAAGCAAGATTATTAAAAAAACAATTGATCATTTTTTTTTAATGTGAAATGATTTTCATGACAAAAGAATCCAAGTACAGTCCAAATATGCAATAAATGAATGAAGTAAAGATTGGCTTAAAATATACATCTAGAGAATCACTGGTCTCTATTTTGGTACTATTTCTTTTCATTTGTATTTTTTTGTCTTTTCTTTTTGTTTAGAAGAGAGAGCAATTTTGTTGGTGTTGGTGATGTTGGTGGGCCTTTTACGAATTCAATTGTGACATCCCTGCCTTTGAAAGTTGCATTGTTCAAATACTTTTATTTTAATTTAAGTAGTAAGACTTAAGTATTTGGATAAATGTGATTTTAAATTAAAATAGTTGGCCTGTCTATTGCAGCAAAGACTACAGAACTGCATTTCAACAAATTAACAATGCACTAAGAATACACAAAAAAGGGGCATTCAATTCAAAGTCAGATTCTGTGTGGCCCTTTAAGCTGGTGCTCTATTCAGACAAGTAATTGGGCCAGTCGGAGAGCAATCAACTGATTGCGAGGTCTGTTTACCAGATGAAAACAGAGGGAAATTGACTGAGGGTGGACTGAGCTACAGGCAGTGTTCACTAGTACAAGATTCCATCGTAAAAACATGCATGCATTCGCTACAGGACCTCATGAAGTATAAAATGTAAGACCCTCCTTTTTGTTAAGTGAAGTGAAGTGAAAAATATACATTTGTGATATAGCTGTGAAAAGAAAGAAAAAAATCAAATTTAGGTGGATTGTTGGAGAATTACTTTTTTTTTTAAAGAGAACAGCTGTAGATGTTCAGTTTTATGTTCAGACAGTAAGATTGTTTCATGGAATAAAATGGATTTACAAAGAATATCACTTTTTTTACTAAATCAACATTCTGTATCACTAGTTACAACATCAAAATTATTATCAACAACCGATATCATGTCCTCAATATCTGTTCTTCTTTAAAGTCGACATAAAACATTACAAACACACTGTTGTTGAGATAAATACATGTACACAATACATGTACAATGTACATGCATATGCCTTTCATTCAAAGTGGAGTTTCTAAACTAATCTATATTTTAAGTGCTTATCAATCTAGAATACATCTTAAAAGCAAAAGGTAACTACTCTCTTTGTAAATCACATACAGCTTTGGTTTGTGCTTGTCATCTCATTTTACTTCATTCATTTCCATTAGATATCAAACAAGCAATAACAAAACAAGCAGAACATTTAGGTAACAAAATTTAAAACATCTCAAACAACATCCAACAGGAGGTGGGAGGGCCGGGGTACTATCTTTAATTAATTAATGAACCCTGAATAACTAACACTAAGAAACAGACCTACATGTACATGTAAATATATATGTTTTTTCATTATTATTTTAAATTATAAATGATTAGAATCTGACAAATGCACAATATCCCTCTCGGGCTCTCACCTTAGTAAGCCCATCATCGATTAAGTCCCTCTCCTCCTCTGTGACCAGACCGACCTTGCAGATGGCCTTGACATAAGCTTGGCTGCCCACTATGTCAGCCTTCCACATTCGCTTGTCAAATTCAATGGAGGCGTTGAACTTCTCCATGACGGGGTCTGTGTCGCCAGTGAAACGCCCTCCCCACAGCTTACCACTCTGTAGGAGACAAGAGAACCACAGGTCAAAAGGTCAAACAATATTAGACTCAAGAAAGATAGCATTGTATTTATATTTTTACAGTAAAATATGTACGGGAAATGAAGAAGACTGAATACCACAGTAACACCAATGAAACTGTCACCAGACCGAAAAAACAATTACATTACCACGAATAGCCCAAAAATTTGGTGGTTGGGATTCGGTGCAGAGTCGATAAGGCGATGTAACTGAAGTATACGGGCTACAATGAAAGTGGTCTTTAAATGCAGGAGCATCGAGTTCATTAAGGAAAAAAGGAATAAGAAAATGCAAGGCGGTCCTTCTGTGCAGGTGTTCAACCTTTGGTTGACAAGACTCAACAGTCTACAGCGATCGAGCCAGAAGGATCGACTCTATGTAGATGAAAAATTTCTTATCTATACCAATGAACAGTTTTAATTTTGTTTAAATCTAGTTTGAAATAAAATAATATTCATGTATATTATCTTCATATTCCTTTCTGTTTGCCTATGAAATGCTGTACATTCTAGCTATTTTTATGCCTCCGCCACCGAAGGTGGTGCCGGAGGCATCATGTTTTCGGGTTGTCCGTCCGTACGTCCGTCCGTCCGTACGTCCGTCCGTCCGTCCGTCCGTCCGTACGTCCGTCCCGTTTGACCGTTATCACAATATCTCAAGAACCATTTAAGATTTAAACTTAAGACTCGGGAATAGTACTTATCACCATAGGAAGACGATCTGATTAGATTTTGGAGTACGTAGGTCAAAGGTCACAGGTCACAGAGGTCAACTTATGAAATTCCTTGTATTGAGTTTGTTAGCGCGATATCTCAAGAACCATTTGAGATTTAAACTTCAAACTTAAGGATAGTATGTATCACCATAGGAAGACGATCTGATTAGATTTTGGAGCACGTATGTCAAAGGTCAAGGGTCACAGAGGTCAACTTATGAAATTCCATACATTGAGATTGTTATCATGATATCTCAAGAACCACTGGAGATTTAAACTTCAAACTTAGTGATAGTGTGTATCACTATAGGAAAACAATCTGATTAGATTTTGGAGCACGTATGTCAAAGGTCAAGGGTCACAGAGGTCAACTTATGAAATTCCATACATTGAGATTGTTATCATGATATCTCAAGAACCACTGGAGATTTAAACTTCAAACTTAGTGATAGTATGTATCACTATAGGAAAACAATCTGATTAGATTTTGGAGCACGTAGGTCAAAGGTCAAGGGTCACAGAGGTCAACTTATGAAATTCCATACATTGAGATTGTTATCATGATATCTCAAGAACCACTGGAGATGTAAAAACTTGAAACTTAATGATAGTGTGTATCACCATAGGAAGACAATCTGATTAGATTTTGGAGCACGTAGGTCAAAGGTCAAAGGCCACAGCGCACATTATGAATGCAAAAACAGCTTGTGATCGCGTTATCTCAAGAACCGATTGATGGATTCATGCCAAAATTAGGTCATGTTTGTTACTTGCAGAGCCAATGAACTGAGTAGATTCTTGGTTCATAAGGTCAAAGGTCAAAGGTCATGGGCCCATTATGTATGCAAAAATAGCTTGTGAACGCATTCTCATTAGAACTGACAGATGGATTACTATTTAACTCAGAACATCTTGTAGAGCCAATGAACTGAGTAGATTTTATGGTCATGAGGTCAAAGATCAAAGGGTCATATATGTATATGAGAAATTGCTTGTAATCACAATATTCTGAGAACCTGTCAATGGATTACCATTGAACGTGAATTCAATTTTTTTTTTCTGTTTTGGTTTGTAAAATTGCTCTATAACGGAGGCATCATTTTCGACTGCGCGCAGTCGAATTCCATCTAGTTTTCAGATGATTCAGATCATAAAATGTGAATTAAATGCCACCATGCACGCTCTCCTCCATTAGCCCCACCCAATACGAGGATTTGACGAAGGGGTTCTTTCTTTACTTCTTGTCTTTTCTCTTTCTCTGCATTCAATTTTGTTCCCCTTCAGATGTAGCCTATAGGGGCCCATGTGAATGTGCCCCCTCCCCCAACAAAAAAAAACAACTAGCTACACCACTGACAGCACCAAGAATCAAGCCTGTTGAAACTTCAAGTTCAATAAAAGAATCAGCCATCATTGTTGTCTAGGGAAATGGATTTCGAGGATATTTGTTGATGTCATTCACCAAGAACAAGATAAAACAACAGATCCCATGCTATCAACATTTCAGCACACACTACTCTACAGTCCAATATGGGATAGTTCTCCATCACGATTCACACGCGCACGCTATATTTCTCGCAATTATTATGATTTCTATTCAATCCGTTTGTGAAACGAATGCCGTAGATTCAAGCTAATCTATCCTTACCTTTTCCATGGCCATCACTATGGTTATTGCAAATGATTGCAATCGTTAGCTTCAAAATGTAGACGGAAGCAAAGTAAGGAATGCAATGGTTTCAGGTTAGCTCAGTTTCGGTTCGTATTATCATCGAATTCGACTTGAGCACTGCACTGCATGCATGCATGCACCTTATACCGTACGTACTGCGCGCCGCCGAAAGCTCCGGGTGTGCTCTTTGTCCGCCTCCGCTCGGCTTCTTCTTTGATCAGCTATGCTATGATTGTACATTGTGTTTACACATCTCCACGTAGGGGGGCGTGGTACCGTATCGGTACCTCATCAGGTGAAAAAAACTCATCCCGCGATCTTCCAAATTTTACTCACATTTTTTTCTTCTTTTTAAACACGCAACCAACTATTAATTTGCTTCATTCTAATTCAATCATTTACTACGGATTCCTACAGACTTATAAATCAATTTTAGGATGAAAATAAAGGTATCGCCCGTAGATGCAATATATCTAACCCTTTATTTTACTTGTTTACATTATCACTCCGATCGGAGTTTTGTGGACGACAGGCCAGAAATTACGAATATAAATAAACAAACGAGAGAGTTTGGATTCATAGTATTGTGTGAGGATGATAACTCTGGCCTAAACCGGTGTAGGATTTTAAAGTTAGCTTCGGATTGAGCAGAGCAGAAAATCGGAGAAAACAGAGTTCAGAAAATTTAACAAATAATAACACTTGAAAATTGGAGAGTAACCTTCCATAGATGAAAAATGGATATACTTTTCCCCCTCCAAATTCTTAAAATCAGTTTCTCTCTCTCTCTCTCCCTCTCTCTCTAATTTCACCCCGGCTCTCTCTCTCTCCATTATTTCCTTATAATTATTCTGTTGATCTCTCTATCCACCTTCCACCCTAGCTTTCTAGTATTTTTGCAGGCTCTTGTATCGATCCCCACATCTACCTCCTCCCCCACCCTTCTCTCTCTCTCTCTCTCTGATACCTCCCCTTCTCTATCTCCCCAATTCCTTCATTTCTTTTCTAACTTTCCCCCTTTCACTAGATTTTTTGTCTTCATCTACCTGTTGAATTTTGTTCTTACCGCATCAGTTTCTTTTTTTTTACCAGTACACATAAACATCAAGAACATTGGTATGACAGTACCCAGGCCATAAGATGCAATGAATGTGAGTAAACAAATTAATTGATGAATTAATTGATGAATGAATAAACAAACAAATGAATGGAGGGATTCAATCATGATATATTTCCTCTGCAATTGGAATATGAGCAAACTCAAAAGCCCATCTGCCCGGTGGGGTCACTCAATGTGACTTCCGGACCGCATGACCGTTACCAAAATCACGGAAAGAGAGGTCAATTTCAAGCAATGTCCGCGGACAAAATATTCCTCGAAATATAGAAAATAGGGGTGCACAGGTGTCCTCGAAATTGATAAATAGGGGTCAGGAAAAGGGAATAGAGAAAACCGGGAAAAAAAATTCTCGGAGCCGAGTCTTGTCCTTGAAATATGGTAAAATAGGGGTAAATTTGCGAAAGTGTCCTCACAATCTTATAAATAGGGGTATTCCAAGGTACGATTTTGTCCTTGTTTTGACGTAAAAAAGGGGGTTAAATATCACAAAATGTCCTTGAAATTGACCGCAATAGGGGGGTATTTGCATTTGTGGTAATGGTCATATGCGTCACCCTCTGCGGAGGAGTGACCCCACCGGGCCCATCTGATGGTTGATGATTATTACCACCATCATAAGTCTATCATCATAATCAGCACTACTTGTGATATTCATTTGTATAAGAAATCATGTTTTAAAATTTTAATTGACTGAAAAATTCTATAGTGTTTCTTGTTAACAGATTTTCCACAGAGAACATGTTCTAGCAGTGGTGTAACTACAGAAAAGCAAAAGAGAGAGAGAGAGAAAGGGAGAAAGGGAGAATGGTAAATGAATGAGAAATGACAGTAGAACCCCTACTCATTTTTTTTAATTTTTTTTTTTAAGTATTTAAGACTGATGGACTGCCACACTGTTTGGAGTGTATGATACAAAGGTCTACTATGGCAGCCCATGTTTGATCCATTCATACTCATAGACCAAAGTTGCTAAAGAGCTGAACACACAATATCCTATGCAGGTCATTTACCAATGAACACCAACAGTGCGAATTTTTAAAGCGATATTAGGTCAAAATTAACAAAAATCATACAATTTTTTGTAAATTTAGGGACACATATCACCTAAAATGGCATTAAAAAGTCATGACACAATAATGCAGAGATGAGCGCTAGTGCAACATTAATGGCCATGGTAATACACTAGCACCTCCCGGAGACATAACACACAGCAGTTCAAGGATACACACTGCATGCCTCCCATGCAATGTGCATACATGTACATAATTTAATGCCAATGGCACAGCAATTAGCACAGCATCATTAGTGGAATTTTTTAAAGAGAGATGTAAATTGCTTTCCGCTTTCGCGACATGAAAAATGAGAGAGTAGAAAAAATTTCACAAAGTTGTCCTAAATTTCACAATTTTTGATTGGAGAAAATGTTCATGGTTATTTAAAGCCATGTTTGCAAATTAAGCGACCCTGAATTTGCTACATATTTTCATCTTTTGTGAAAAAAATTGGTGTTAAATGCCACAAAATGAGTAGGTATGCTACCATTTGAAAATGCTGATCTGCTGCAGTGTCATTGAGCCTGGTGAGTTGTGTTGGGAGGGACTTCTTTCTGGATCTGTAAGCACCACTTGCCATGGATCTGTAGAGAAAAATAAGTCTCAGGAATAAGATTTTCTAATGAAATAAGATGAAAATGGACTTGAACTTGTGAGTTGTGTTGCTGTATTGTGTTAGTCAATGTTTTTCTTCATACTTCATAAGTGATAACCATTACACTATGGAATGGGTTGATTTTTTACATTCCAGCAATACCACACAATATTAATACACAGTAAAAACAATCTTTTAACCTCAATATTGTCAGCTATTCTGACATGATTTGTTCTTCAACTCAGAGGTCACATGTCACCATCCCCCCCCCCCCCCCCTCCATGAATCCATGAGAGCTCATGACATTGAATCTCTGTCAAAACAAAAAGGTGTATTGTTCTAATTTCTTTGACTTCTTCACAGATTTCCTCCTCAATTTTGCAGATATAAATTTTGGAATTCTAGACAAGCCGACCTAGGGCCTTGCAGGGTGGGGTGCTTCGGTGGACAGCTCGAGCACTTTTGGAAAGACTTCCTTTTGCGACAGCCACCTAAACCTAACCCTATCCCTAACCCTATTTTATCATCAGCATCAGCATCAGTATACGGAAGTGTAAGGTGATCCTGTTGAAACTTCCGGTCGTTACATTGAGTGGTGCTTCGTTCTAATAAACCAGAAACTATTTTTGCTCTCATGGCGGGTGGACGCACATATTAATGTTATGTTTTATAATAGATCATTATTATTTTAGATTATGAAATCACAAGGGGAACAGAACGGGGTGAGCTGTCCACCGAAGCGCCACACCCTGGACAACTCATCCAGGGTATTGGACCGGGTTGTCCAGGTTCGGGCTGTCCGGTGGTCAGGATGTCTGTTATTGTACGGTTTTGTACCCCAAATTTATGGGCTACTTGGAGTTGGCGGAGTTTTATGACATCTCTCCTCAAAAGACAAAATATATTAAACGGCCTTTACATTCCCATTCCCATATATTATTATTGCCAAAAAAACAAAAAAAACTCTTTCTCGCGCTCTCTCTCTCTCGCTCTCTCTCCTGGAAATCTTGCTGTCTACCTGAAAGTTGGAAGGACTGCTGCAGCACTCTCGTTTTCCAGGAGCAGCCTCATTTGTTCCTGTTTGTAAATATCTGGAACACTCGTCAGTTCTGATCTTGCTCGTTCATTTATCACTGACTGCACCCGTGCCACCGCCACGGCATCCACGTTAGGCGGGTGAGAGTGGGGGATTTTCTCGCCGGGCTCGGGGTAGCTGCCCGAGACCGATGTGGCTCGTGTGACTAGTGTGCCCGAGCAAGTCTTCCGGTTCCGGCACCTCCAATAAATATTTCCATTGCCTCTGCTCCGTTCGGTGTAAGTGTATCCTCGGAAGGAAACACAGTATTTTCCTCGCCTAGTCTTGAAAACTTCCATCGTGTCCATTACGATAGCAAATCTATGTTTGAAAGACCCGCTTTGGATTCTTTGTTTCAGCTCAGCTTATTAGCCTAGCCTGCGATCGCTGTATTGTTTACAAAAAGCACGCTAAAAAAACATGTAGGAAAGAGATTAAGGGTATAGTCTTTATCAAGACATTTCTTTTGTATTTCTTCTTTCTTTTGCTTGTTGTGTTTTGACAATCGCGATATTGTTCTTTATTGTTTTGTTCCATTAGCAAAACCGATGCCAGGAAAGGAGATAGACTTGAACATTTTTTTAGACCACATGTTTTCACACAACTTTATCTACGCGCGTTAGAGATTTCATCCACTTATCATTCGGTCTAACCTTTAGGCTATAGGATTAGTCCTTTGGTCCAATTTTCAAAATAGTCTATAAGCTCCAATTAGTAAACAGATTATGGTCTATTGTTCAAGTTTCGTCTATAACAGTATAAGGTTTAATAATCATTTGATGGAAGAACGACCCCCTTATGAGAGTACAACACAGTTTTACATTAAAGAATACAAAGATAGCATAAAGTGAATACAAAGAACACAGAATACAACAAAACAACACTGATACAAATGTATAACGATAAATAGGAATGGTCTTAACCTAGGCTATGCTAAACATAAATAACATTTTACAATATGCCACTAGCAATAATAATTATGTATGCGGCATACATATAATTATTAGACCATATAGTAGGAGAATATGGGAATTATACAAACAGGGAAGTAGACCGACTGAAACATATAACAATAGACCAAGCGGCCGTTGTAGACATAATTGGAGATTAGAATAATTGGTCATTAGGCCAAACGATAATTAGACGAAATGATTATTAGACCATGCAGATAGTAGACGCATAGCTGAATAGACCATAATGGAAATAGACCAATTGGGTAGTGATCTGGGGCATCGGAACTTGTCGACCAAAGGGCAATAAACCGCAGTGGCGGATCCAGGGGGGGGGGGGGGGCCCGGGGGGCCCGTGCCCCCCCCCCCCTTGAGAAAAAAAAATCATGTAAAATCACGTGATTTTTACCTTTTTGGGGGGTTGGGCCCCCCCCCCCCTGACGCTCAAGGGGGGGGGGGGGTGCAAATTGAATTTTTTTTTGAGGATCAAAAAAAAAAAAAAATGTGCTCACTACCCCCCCCCCCCCCCCCACTGAGCGAATTTTTGGCCGGCGCGTTTTTCAAATTTTCGGGAGCAACAAAAAAAAAAGTTGGGCCCCCTCCCCTAAGAAATCCTGGATCCGCGCCTGATAAACCGTATCAGTGTGCATGCTCTTAATCACTTACAAATTAATGGTAAGACTTGTGCATAATCTTTCAGATACAATCGTTTGTCGTTAGGGGGGGGGTGGGGTGGGGTGGGGTGGGCACAAAACACGATTAAAGGGCAATCCAATAAACCCTTGTAATACTTTCATTTGAATGGAGCAGAAAAGCAGACAAGCAAAAAGGCAAAAGTTTTAAATAAAGCGGACCAATAATAAGTAAGTTATATGAATGTTTGAAATATGAGATCACTATACAGCTATGCGAATCTCAAATTGGATATTTAATCAGTGGATTGTGACGAATACTGAAAGATAACTCTCCCGTTTCGTTCAGTTTTCGTGTACAAAATAATGTCTGTTTTTAGCTCAGTTTCTAAGTGCCTTCACCCTTGAGGCACTATTATATTCATAATAATGAGCAGAGCATATTATTTCAGGTCCTCTTAAAATAAAAGACCATCCCAAGGTATACATTTTAGACAAATTGACATTTTAGTCATGTCGTGTTTTGGTACAAAATAGTTGTCCGCCACTACAACACAGGTATACATTACAGATTCAGCCAATTTTGAGGGTCTTTACCCGAAGTGATTGCAACTTTCAAAAATTCTTAATTGTTTGCCCGATTTCATTCAAACTTTCACCAGTATGCTTTTCTTGTTTTTCTCCTTTCGTCTAGCGTAATTAGCTACCAAGTTTGGACTTTTGCAGTATACTCTAAAAGTGCCCTATATCCCTATATTAGTATATGACTGAGGCGGGGCCCTTTATTTTACTTGGGCATTTGTTCACTAAGTTTTGATAAGTGCTGCGATTTTAATTTCTATTTGTCCTTTTCTCTTACTGTTCATTGTCCTTAAAAAGAACGGCTTTTCCACATTAACATACTTCCCTGTTGGAAATTTCTGCCATTAATTTCTTTTAAATTATTCTTTCTTATTCTTTCTTATTTTTCCTTCTTCTCGGTCTTGGGACAGTCTACAATTAGCCTGAGTCCCTAACCTGGATATAATCCATCAAGAGAGGAATAAGGAAAAGGAGAAGAAAATACTGAAGACTATAGATACTTGGTCACCGCTTTGCTCGGCCATCGCAAACCAATTACTCAGTAAATCAAAAGTACCTCCGTGAAGTGAACTTGAGAGCAAACAGTTATTCAACTACTAATCGGCTATAATAAACCATTCCATCAGCCAACCAACATAACTATACAGTCATGATCCATTAAAGGTAATACAAAGTTTTGGGAAATTTTGAAAATTGGATGGATAGTGAATCGTTACAATTTTGATATATTTGGATGCCCCTGTGGATGTATTATAAGCACTAGAAAAATTAGCCCCTAAAACTCTTCTGCTTTTGAGAAAAATGGAATATAAAAATTTACCGGTGCTCCCGGTAAATTTTGATAAATTTCAAATAGCACCTATGGCCGTACAATGGTAGCTGCGACCATGAAAATTTCAGAATATGTAGTTGTGATTATAATTTCCAAACGGGAATAGCTAATCGGTCGATTTTAGTCAAGAAACATTGTTTCATAGCTAAATTAATATCTTGACTTGAGAGGGAGCTATACAACATAAACATTTTATTATTTATAATTTCATAACTTTAGACTCGATTTCAACCGCGACAACGATCAATTAATATTGTAGGAACGCATATGCTTCCAATATGTTAATTTGAAGCAAATTCATGACCCCATACCAAAACTTTGTAATACCTTTAACCAGCCAACCAATTAATCAGCAGTCTTATAGGTTGACTCAGTCACTCATCCAATTAATAATCAATCAACCGAGTATCTGTAAGTCAAATTAGTATAATCAATAACAACTATCTGTAGTTGAATCAATTAAGAAATCAATCACTGAAACAGTTTACCAACCAACGATCAGGCTACAATAAATTACAAGCAACCATGCAACCAACCAACCATGCAACTAACCAACCATGCAACCAACCAACCAACAGATTAATGACGTAATAATTAATGATTCAACCAATCAAACAACATATCAATCAATCCATCGGCAATTAAGCTCCGGAGAATTATTAGTCACTCAACCATCCATTTAGTTTTTATACCGGTCAACCAATCTATTTGCAGTCAAATCAACTGAACAATCAATCATCAATCGACCGATCAACCAATAATAAACCAATCGGCAATAGAACAATCAATTAATTAATCATCAACCAATCGATGAATCATCCAATCATTCAATCAATCAAACCAAATGAATTAAACAGTTAATTAATCAAAATATTAATCAACCAATCGGTCAATCATTCGATCAATCAACCAACCAACCAATCAGTTATTCAATCAATTAACCAACCAACCAATCAGTTATTCAATCAATTAACCAACCAACCAATCAGTTATTTATTCAATCAACCAACCAACCAATCAGTTATTCAATCAATCAACCAACCAACCAATCAGTTATTCAATCAATTAACCAACCAACCAATCAGTTATTCAATCAATTAACCAACCAACCAATCAGTTATTTATTCAATCAACCAACCAACCAATCAGTTATTCAATCAATTAACCAACCAACCAATCAGTTATTTATTCAATCAACCAACCAACCAATCAGTTATTCAATCAATTAACCAACCAACCAATCAGTTATTCAATCAATTAACCAACCAACCAATCAGTTATTTATTCAATCAACCAACCAACCAATCAGTTATGTATTCAGTCAACCGACCAACCAATCAGTTATTCAATCAATTAACCAACCAACCAATCAGTTATTCAATCAATTAACCAACCAACCAATCAGTTATTTATTCAATCAACCAACCAACCAATCAGTTATTCAATCAATTAACCAACCAACCAATCAGTTATTCAATCAATTAACCAACCAACCAATCAGTTATTTATTCAATCAACCAACCAACCAATCAGTTATGTATTCAATCAACCGACCAACCAATCAGCCAATACAATAAAACACCGAACCAATCAATCAGTCTCAATTAACTTACCAACAAATCAGTCAACAAAAAAGCATCAAACAAATATTCAACTAATTTATCAATCATTAAATCAACCAATGAATTAATTATTCAATCAAGCAACCAACCAATCAATCAACCAACATATCAATAAAAAAAAAGAATCATTCAATCAACAATCAACCAACCAATCATATCAATCAATCAATCGATGAACCAACTAACCATACAACAAATCAATCAACAAACCATCCAAATAACCGACCAATCAGTCAACTATAACCAATTACTCAATCAATTCATTAAAAATCCAGCCTATTACCCATTCTATTCAATATCAATCTGCAAAATCGCTCATACCCAAAAATGAAATCAAAGTACATCATGAATTTCTTTTAATTTTTTTTTTATTGACATTCTCTTTGTCCTTCTGCCCCACGATAAATGAGTATCGCGAGATGAGGACAGAAAACAGTATTATTCTTTTAATTAGAAAAAAAGTATCATCCTTTCTCTACACAATTTTTGTTCTGACTACAACTCGTCTCCCTATAACAGATAAGCATATCATGATCAAATCAATTTACATACAAGTGAAGCACCCTTTCGTAAAGAATAAATACAAACATGATATACACGGTCATAGAAGGACAAATGTTATCCATATTGCTTTCGTCATCGTTTTCTGTATTCGGTTTTGGACGATCATTGCTAAGTACACATTCATGAATGAGCACCGGAAAAAAAGGATATCCTATTTGAAGTCTACAATACAAACATAAAACAATGGAGAATTCAGATTTACACTTAAACTGTAATTCAAAGTATTCCTTACTTGACACACACATAAAGGTATTCTGTAAACTACTATATTCCCACTGGCTGATAAAAATATTTAATTTCTTCTGTCTAGTTATCCTGATTACTGATTTCCATTATTGCAGTAAGCTGAATAATTGAATATAACAAAACTGGAAAATTACAATTCATTTTATCATTTCATCATATTCATATTTCATATATTTGGACAGATTAAGTACAACATTGATGAAAATCGAGTCTGCAGTTTGCATTTTGGTTGTTGGTTTATTCGTCCAACTGAAAGAAACTTTCCTTAGATATACTTTAATGTGAAATTTGAAAAGGACCAGTGAAAAATTCAAAGCTACCATAAAGAAATGTATGTTTATTATTATTAAACTACTGTTCTGTCCATTCCTGATATTGCATATTCAGAGCAAGAACGGTATTAACACTGTGTATGAGTTAATGCCCTTCTGGATCCAAACAGGTTAAGAGATCCAAAGAAAGTAACAATGTGCAGCTACTCAGGAATAATTCATTCACCTTTTTTGGTCACACAACAAAAACCTTGCATATAGTGGCCATTCCTGGAAAACTATGGGTTAACGAAAAAGTATTGAAAGCAAGGTAGCCATTCTACACAGGTTAACCAACATACTATCCGTTATGAACACACATTCTGGGGCATTAGAACATGGCACAAAGTTTATTCTGAGAGACAAAAACATATGCTTTATGGTAGTTATGAATGATAAATATAGTCAAAGCTGTCTACAAAGGCCAGTGATGAATATATAAAAAGTATAAGAGAGGTGGCCCTTCCAGATATTTCTTCTGAGGGGAGACAAGTTACCTCTATATCAAGATGGCCACTATGACAATTCTGACTGTATTTGCATGACATCATTGTAATGCTTTTTGTATTAATACTGTCTAATTTGACTTGGTAGAAACAAAATGGACCTACAAGGAAAGAAAGAAAAAAGAAAATGCCCTGATGGATCAATAATCTTAATCCACTTAATATATATTCAGTCAAAATACAAATTAAAAGGAGAATAACAGTGAACATAATCTATAATAAAACAAATTTCACTCATGATTTTTCCTTATTCTCTTGAACCCTTTATTACAAGAAAAGTTGTTCAAATCTGTTTATTTCTTAAAAATGCATTGTAAACGATATTATATATATATTACAAAAATTGCAATAGAGACATGAACCTCTGACAACATGTCACTCAAAACTATACAAATATCACACTTCTACAGTACAGAGGCGATTAATAAATATTCACATGAAAAACTACACGAATCAACATGAAAAAAGAGAAGATTTATTATACATACTGATTGCAAGTAAACAACAAAAGAGGAATAAAGAATCACAATTGATGAATGATTGAAAACAAAAACAATCATAAAAGATTTACAGACTTTTTTAATGAGTTTATAGGCAGGAAAATAATAAATGATTGAATGCCAGTGCCTGCATTTCTTGTTCGAAATTGAGCCTTAAAAAATGACACGTCGCATTTGTGCATAGCCATGAGAACAATTAAACACAAGGATAATCTTTTCTACTATCTATATTAAACATATAACTTAATTTGAACATCTTGATTTTGCATTTGCTTGCATCAATAAAAACAGACTGTAAGTAAATGCATACAAATAAATGTACAAAAGGCTACAAAACATTCTCTTCAATACAAAATAGCACTAATCAATATTCAAATTAATGCGTTATCTATTGATTCTAATTCAAGGTTCACTTTCTTTCCTATCTAAATAAGTTACATTAATCATTCAATTCCTTTACAACACTACATAAAATTCATTCAAAGAATTTGGATACTTGATATGGTGGTTAAGTGTGTGACTAAATCTAACTAAAAGCAGTCAATATCACAACTTCTTCGCATGCTATTTCCTTTCATGATTTTGGAATGTTCAAGTGTTTTGCTACATGATCCTTTCGATTGTTCAGCCATTCTGCGTTGTAAAACAGAGTCCCATAGTTTCAAATATCGACCTCCTTCCTACACACATTCCCATCATGGCAAGGCATATTTTAACAGCCAAGTTAATCAGTTCTTTCTTCAAATTGACAACATTGCTAGTTATCTTTTACTCTCACTGATCTTAAGAAAATCCAGGTATATGAAAAGAAAATAACTAACAGAAATCTGATAGGAAGTATAAACTTTGCAAAATTTATTTTCTTCAATATCTAAATTTGTTCAATAAGTTGCCGATTTAGAAACTTCAATGTACTTTCTGTTAAAGATTCCTGGTGTCACACTCAATTTTGACAATCACAACAAATTGTCGCAAGATGAGCAGGAATTTGGCCGGTTCTACCCACGCTAGTAGTACACTTTTAATTGCAAGAAATATAAATGTAGAGTCTCAAAGCCATATAATATGTAAGTTACTGTTTCCATGATGGGCTTATGCAGGGGGAACAAATAAAAACTCAGCCAGTAATGCATCAACATTGCAACTCAAACTAAGACATTTTGAGATAACTTGGTGCACTTTCTCCCAATAGTTTATGGAGATGATAAAAAGTTAACATTACAACCTCACAACATTCCATATTTTCAATCACAGAAAGTTGTAACATTAGGCATGCTGCAGCACTGAGTGGGTAGAAATGTTGAAAGGTGTTATTTGTTCAAAACCTGTGATGTTGTTGTGAGAAAGAGCGCCTTGTTACGTAAGGCACCGACAGGCCCAGACCTACATCATCCAATAACCCACACGTTGTGCGTTCGGACAAGTTAGTTCTCTGGTCAGTTGATGCAAACAGTAATTTGAAGAAGTTTACAAGCAATTACTCATAAATAAATTTTCGGGAGAATTGGCAGAGGATCTAATTCATATATACGAGTAGCTCTTGTTATTTTTAACAACAACAAAAACAAAATCTGTTACTTTGCATATTTTGATACCCATGTCCAATGTGTAAGCACATAAAACAACAGCAGGAAAATTAACGAAGTCAGAATTGTTCAGGAGTTCCAAACATTTTAAAGAAAGGGGCTCCTGTTTATGGATAATTTCTATATGTCCAGCAGTGAATATTATCTTATTATATGATGACGAAGACTACATAATAATGACAAATGCAATTACGTCAGATTTATGAAAACAAATATTCATGGTGTTCCCACCCGAATAGCTTAAAATTCTGGTAAATTCTGGAACAAATCAGGGAATAAATCAGCTGTTCAATTTCATTAATTTTCCAGGAAAAAAAACAGAAGGGAAAGAAGTTGTGAGATGAACAAAGAATAATATTTTAGCCGTGACACAAAAGTTCTTGCACCGTACTACACGCATAAGCAGAATTGGGACTTGCGACCCAAAAATATACATCTGTATAAAAGTCAAAAGGAAAATTGAAAATTGAAATTGAAAAACATATCACACAGATACAAATATCCATGACAACCAAACAACAATGTGCCCATTGAATACACAACGTACAAGGCTAAACTTCGTACAAATATTACACACAAATATAAATCAGTATGAGTAAAAAACCAAAAACAGAAAAATTGAAACATATCACACAATGTCTTTATTACTATTTCTATTTATATATGACCCTACTTACATGAGAATTGCATTAACAAGATGGGTGCGTTCACACCAAGACAATGATTGAGGATGAAATGACATGACACAGGCTTGATGCAGCATTGTTATCATCGTTTCTCTTCGATTTCCACAAAAAAAATGTACAACTGAGCTACCCAACTAGTCCCATATCCAAAATGATCAAGTAATGTACATATAAATTAAGTTGTATCACAAAACATGGCTAGATCACAAATAGACCAATCACACAACGACCGGCCGGTCACTTCCCGGCGATTTCCACATGCGACCGACACATCCAGCATTCTATACGTTGCCGTGACAACAGCTAATACCTCAGTGCAATGCTTCTCGTTGGTTTGAATCTCGCATTCGTAGCAAAAGAAGGAGCACCAACATACATGGAATATATGCTTCTTTATATCAGTTTTCATTTTGCACGAAACCACACCATATATCTTCATGATGACGCATCAGAAGCGGAGGAGCCACGGCTTGTAAACGCCTTTTGCTCCTCAAGACATCTTCTCTGGAGTATAAGCACGTTCTAATACACATATCTAGCCTAACGAGGATGCAGAGACTTAAACGATATAAATAAGTTAATACATATGGCTCTGCAATCTCGGTAATCTCACGATTGGCATCACACTTCACATTATTTGTTACTTCAGCAATAATTTACATACAAATCACTTCTTTGTTTCTCGAGGTATATGCAATAGACTTTTATCTAAACCCATCATCCAGCTTTCATCTCAAAACAAAACAAACTTCAAGTGAGGATAAATAGGATTAATTCCCTTTAGTTCTTGGAATTGAGGAAGAAAAAAAAAGAAAAAGAAAACCACATCTCTGTACTAGGTGATAGTGGTTTCAAAACAAATTGCACAATTAAATCTACATTATTGTGGCAATACTTCATATGCTTACAAAATACAAGTCCAAGACATACATGTCCTTTCTTGCATACTTAGTAAGAAAACAAATGCACAGGCCATTGATACACAAGAAAATAATTGCATTGTACTTTGAGTAATAACTGACTTGTCTAAAGAAAATTGTTAAATACAATACTGACAATATATGAAAGCATTCAATGAAAGGGAGAAATTGGGACTATTCAATTTAAATTATTATTCATTACTTCTCTTGTACAAAATTGAGACATTTCATTCATGATAAAGGTTTAGGTCAACAATGAAAGATATTTCCCACTCCAGTCACATATATATGTGATGTATAAATTAGAATACACTCTGACTAGCTGCAGCGGTTTCCACTTGCTAGTATACAAACACTTTACCCCAAATGTTTGGGATAGCCAGGAACAAATTCAAAGGGTACCCTGACGGAACAGATCTATTTCCCATTTTCGAACAAAATATTTCAAATTCTTTACAAAATGAGAGTATTCACATATTGTTCGTAGTGAAATTTCTTACAACAGAGCAATAGAAATGTAGTTCATTCTGAACAAAAATATTTTAAATTCAATTTCTTGACGATATATCCTTGCATGAAATGGAGATGAGAATCGGGTATCATGAGTTTAATGGGTAGTACTGGTCATCTTTAATATTGAAGTTCAAAACAAAATGCAAATGAAATATTAAAGGGTGCTGGACCAAATCAAATTTGTCCTTCATCCCTACTCATAGGATGCAGTTAGCTTTGTTACAAAGCAAATAATGCTGTTTTAGTTTAAAACTTTACAGTATAACTTGCAGAACAAATTTTCCAGGACTTTCCTTCATAATAGCTTGCATTTGTCTGATTGAGAGAGAAAGTAATGAACCTTGTTTGCAATTTTCAAGGGGTACTTAAACATTGATGATACAAGTCATCCATCTAGATCATATTCCAATTTGACCCATTCTTCATAAAAAGCGCAGCATCTCTTGAAAGGAGCAGCAAGTCGTAACATCATACTCTGTGTTCCTTGTGGCAGCCAGGGCTCACGATGCAGCAACGCCGGAACATAAATAAAAACTTAAAATCTCCTTAAATGAATACAGCTGGTCACGCCAATTTGAAGTTTCCTGTGGCACCTTTACATAATATATATATATCTGTCGAAAGGGAAGTTTCTTGCTGACACCACTTCAGTGTATGTGATGGATGTATATTCGTTGCAGCATTGTTTGCTCGAGTGAAATAATATAGCACATTTGTTTTCATGGAGCATATCACACACCTTTAAAATATAACTCTGCTCCTCGGTCACAGGTCAAAAGGTCAGTAGAGGTCAAAGGGCACATCACAAGGAGAGGATGATGGAGAGGGTGGGGGCGAATTCTGTCGGTATTGCTCAACTCGGTCAAGAACTGGGGCGGACGTGGTGGAGGAGACGGGCGCTAACCAACAGTCGAGGCACTAGCTATAAATATTTCTTGGCAATTCTTGTAAGATCTCCCTCCTTCTTCAACACACAGTAAGGCTTGGAATATAGAGATACGTATCTGGACAAGACGTTTTTTCATTGATTGCCGTGGGTGTGGCTGGTGGGTGGGGGCGGGGCGTAGTCCCCTCCCGGCCTTCTCATCAGTCCCACGGCTGGGGTGATGGGGGCAGCTCCGATGCACTGGCTACTGACGAACTGCACAGGGTGGATCAAAAGAAAAAGGGAGAACAAACAAATGCATTGGTTAATATTTAATTCATGAAGTGAACACCGAGAATGCGGAGCACAAGTTACGGGATGTCATGTATACCACAGCGATTCTAAAGTTGCATAACAAATCATCCAAATCGGGCTCCATCACATTTAACACATCCTCGTTAATTGAAGTAAATGGGGTTTGCTATGCTACATTTAGGATGTTGATCAGTAAAAACATGATTTAGACAGGGGGCTGAATCAACAGGTAACATTCTTCTTTCCTCTATCTCAGATCTTTCTAACTGGGACATGCAGCATCAGTGTCACAATTCCTACTTTGGTGCACACTGACTTGCCCCTGCTAGCTAAAACCAAGATAGGTAAAAGGCGACTCATGGTTGTCCAGATGCGATCTTTCGTTGAAAAAACACAGAGTTATGAACCCATATATCGCGAATCTACCAAAGTGGTGACAAAATTCCCCCAAAATTGGATTTTCATTATAATATTTTCTAAATCAGAAATACAGCCAAAATAGGAATAATGGCAAAGGTAATTATGTACATGTATATGATTTCTAGAAATTTGAGATGGATGCTAGGAAGAAATGTATGGTGAGCATCTGATGGCTGTCTAAATGTTCTTGCTGATCTACAAGTAATCTTTGTATGTATAGATTTCATGCACAGTGGAGGGTGTATTTTTAATCTAATGAGAATCCTGCTATTGCTGTTATGGAATAAGGATGCTCAATCCTTGCCAAAAGAAATCTGTTATTTCTGAATCACAAGAGCTCAGCAGCCGGCAGAAATGGAGATTCGGAATCAACAATGAATACAAGCTTCCAAACAACTTGTGATACCACTTGAACGAGGATAGAGGGTGATTTCCGATCAATGAAATATTCTCAAGGTATACATGTACAACTTTTTATAGAAGTTATTTATGGTAGATGACTTGAAAGTGATATACATGTGACATGGTGATTGAAAATGTGTGATTGTGTTCTGGAAAGTGTGTGTGTGCATATGTAATTTTCCTTTTAAGTAGCTGTGCGAAGATTTGAAAAATTTTTTTTTTTATTTTCATTATTGCAAAGGTGAAACTTTGTTTGGACAATTTCCTCAAAATTCAATGCTTGGAAACATTCAAAGTGACATCTCAGCAGTGTTCAGAGAGCTCTTCAGGTGCTATGCCGGGCTGTATTTAAGCGTTTTGTAATTGATAATAATAAATACTTCAAATGTTTCCAAGCTTTGAATTTTGATAAAATATATATTGTCCAATCAAAGTTTCACCATTGCAATAAGGAAATAAACTTGAAGTTAGTTCTTAAAATCGTTGCACAGCTACTTTAACAGGTACCTTGTTCAATGATATGATATGTAAAATGATCTGCATATGTGTTTATTGCTAAGAGGGAGGGGGAAGGGTGGGGGTACATTAGGTGAACCTAATTTGCTATCCAAAACATTTCCTGCGGGAACCATTTTATAAGTCAACTCTGTCTGTGTACAATAGAGCCAACATGTACATGGAGGTTAATTTGGTAAAACGTTTCAGGCGACTTATAGGGGAAGTTTGTTGCTTGAGATATCTTTCATGATCATGAAAATATTGATGATAAAAGGCAGTTGCATGTCATGCACCTCTCTCAATTACTTACTATTGAGACATGTCTTAAAATGAAAGGATGTTTCTCTAAAACTGCCATGCCTGCACTCTCCTTTGAGCCATTCATATATAGACATTCTGTCAAATACAATACACAAACTCCTGAATGAATGCAGAAAAGTTTGTATCATTCTCGCCAGAACAAGATGCCTCTTGTAACTCACAAATGTCTCGATTTAGTGTACAGGCTTGGTTTAAAGGTAGAGTCACTGAAGGTGCTGTCTACTCAGAAGTAGTCAACTTTTCTTGTCCCCCTCCTCCTCCCCATCCCCATCCCCTTCTCCCCTCCCCCACTCCTCCCCTCTCAGTCCCCAACCAACACCCCCTTCCTTATCCATATGTACAGTAAATGAAATAGGCATGTGGTTTTGATCAGGGCATATTTACTGAGTTTTCTCAGTGAGCTTAGTTAGCTCACGAAGCATCATACTTTAGTCATGACGTTTCAACTTTAAAAATAACATTTGGTTTTGAATATACATATGAAGGGTACATTCTTAAGTACATATAAGTAGTGAAGCCTCCAATGCTAATGCGATACCAACCACTTAGAAAAAAGTGCTTTGATCACGCTATAATCATGTTCACCTCACAAGTCCATAACAGTTGTATGCTCTTGGCTGGGAGAAACTTTGATCTTTATAAAATGTATTTTTTCATAACCATTAAAATTAAACAACATTCATGAAAATGTCAACATTTTTTCCAATCTAGTAATACAAAAGGATTATGTAACAGTCTACAAGCTTTATTTGCATGTGTTCTATTTTGGTAGAATTCTTAACGTAAGCATTCTCTGTTTCTTGGTTGATGTTGTTATTGCATAAATACATAGAAGAATAAATGCAATGAGATGTTTTCCTTCTTGTGTACCACCAATACAAACTGAAAAACTGAATATTCATATTCAATGAAAGGGATGACTGATGACTCTTCATGCATGAAACAAAGATCAACAAAAACAAGAAATTATTCAAAATAAAGCACTGAAAAGAGAGAAAATTAAAAACTGAAAGTACAATGATAATCGTAAAAAAACAAAAAGATTTGAAAGAAAACAGAGACAAAAAAAAATAATGACTGTTTGATAATTTGGATTGGAACAAACCTGGAATCAGTAAATTGGCAGCGTCTGATGGTACATCAAAAACCTTTTTCCCAGTCCTACATGAAAACAGCCGCAGGGAAGGGGGGATAGAAATGGTGCGATGGAGCAGACACCATTTTAAAAGAAGAGTTATTCATTAGTCTTTTGGTGAAAGGAGGGTGATGATGAAAATGATCGTGAGAAGTATTAAAATAATTTCCTTTATTTGTTTTGGGTAAGGGTGATATTATTGTGCAGTTGTTTTGATAGACCAAACTAAGAAGTTCAGAAAAAATTCAACTTCTTTTATCACCTTTACCATTCCACTGTTTGACCAGGGAGTGAGATAGAGATATGGTTCAGAGAGGTATGGAAATACAAATGAATAAATTAAGACTGCACCACACAAACCCATTGTTAAGATTAGGTTATCGAATGGAAAATAAGAGAAAAGATTATGTACAGAGTGCATCTGAAGTTGCTGTAAGAGACATCAGCTCACATTTAGCATCTTCAAGTCTTATTTTGGAAAGTGACTTATTATTTTAGACCCAGCTAAGGTTTTCAGGGGTTTCTTTTGAGTCATGTACACAACTGCCATTTTTTAAAGTGTTGGGGGATCTTAAGCTTTCACCCACAATCAAAGCAAATAAAGAGAGAAAGAGAGAACACATACATAATGATTACGCAAAGAAATCATAAGACCTGACATGTTAAGGCAAACAAAACTAATAGAATGCCAAACTTATCCTAACTTCTGTCTACACAATCATTTGAATGTGGGTAATAACTTTCATGCATCCTATCAAACAGAAATAAATAAAAGAATACTGGGGGTGTAAGACAAGACATTATTCATATTAGAAAATGAAATATAAGTTTTACGTGTTAGTAGAATCTATGCAAGAAAAATTAATAAGCCGAATCCATGAAACAATTAACACAGCCTATATACTTGTATGGATGCAATTCCAATAACGGTTTAAAAGCAGTTGCAAAATCTTCTTGTATGTTTTTTTGTTTGGTAACTTTGTGCCCCACTTGAGTTCATTTTATGCTGATCCATTACATCTAGCTGAGCAAATCACAATCAAAGTACCTCCAGCATTTAAACACATGTAAATGTTTATTTTCTAAACAGTTTTTATATACATGCATAATAATTCTCACGAATGGAATCTTGTATATTATCGTAAGGTACTTGATTCATGAATTGTGTACAGTTATTGTCAATGAAAATGATGATGATGTAAATGCTTATTTGTTTCATAAGGAAATATATAAGAGCAATGAGATATATAACATGTGATTGACCTGATATAGCAAATACTATGTTCTACATGTATATGCATGAAGCAATTTAAGTGACAAGAGTACAACAAAAGTTGCAAAGAATTAAAATATTCGTGGTGCAGATCAATGTCTACATTTATTACTAACAAATATGTTTTTCATAACTTGGACAGACATGAGTTTCTTTTCTTTATAATTTTTTTTTAAAAGCCCTAGTCTCAGGATCTAAATTGCTCGTATGATTTAACATGTGTTTTAGTTCATTGTACGCTTTCAATAAAACCAACGTGACAGAACTCCTAAATCATGGAATTGTGTTGCATTTGCTCGAACTATACTCAAAATAACACCTAAAACTAAACAAGCATTGGTTTAAAACTATCTTTGAATTCAGATTTGGGGCACAAAATTACTTATATATCACTAGCTTCCATCATGTGTATGTTAGAAGGTTATGAAGAGAAGAAAGCAAGAAAAGGATATTAAGTTGATTAGAATTAACCTCATCAATCACAACATTCAAACAGAGGGACAGAAAGAAATACTGGGCGGTTACGAAAGAAGAGAAAATCAAGAGCTACAGTGCTTGAAAGAACTGTCTTCAAATCCCCCCCCCCATATCATATTCAAGAAAAAGAATCATTGATAGCAGCCAAGATTTGTATCAATTTGTGCAAAGAGAAGATAATTGGAATACATTTGAATACAAAGTCTCAATTCAAATGACTTCTATCATAAGGGTATGTATCTATTAAGTTGACGTGGAATGTTAATTAGTTTTGCTTTCTTGGTTATTTATAAAATTGGAAGTACAGAAATCAACCCTTCTTAAAAACCTGTGAATGGAGTCCCAGAAGAACACAAAAGTGCATCTACAAAAAAGTAACTGTTTATCTACTCCATGTCACAGAGAGAGAGAGATTGTCTACTGTAGGATCAGATAGATTCCAGACAGGTTCCAACTATGGCTAAAAGTTCAAGCACTGTAGCTCTTACAGAAGTTCAGGAGGGGTGAGGGGAGGTGACTGACATGCAGGACTGGGCGATGACCACTATTTCAGACTCCAGCAGAACTTCAACCATGCATCGCTAAAGGTTCACTAGGGGATTCACCTTTGAAGGTGCACTGCAACAAGCTCGCCAATCATGGTACAATATCAAACATTCATGAATAATGTTGTAACATCAAAGGTGCAGCAATAAAAGCATACCATCAATGGTGAACCACCAAAGGTAACTGACTGAAAGTGTACCTTTAACAGTGCACCATCAAAATTCCATCAATGATGGTGCACTGTTAATATTGTACCATCTAAGGAGCACCACTGAAAGTGCACCATCAAATGCTCAGCAATGATGGTGCTCCAAAGAGGGTTTACCATTGCAGTTCACTCACACTACCAATGTTGTACCACCAAAGGTGCACCGTTGAATCACTGCTGGCGCACCACCGATGGTGTACCACTCAAAGGTGCATGCACTGATGGTACAGATGGTAGAATGCTTTATTAATCAAGCATGATATTAAGCATGCAAGGATGTCAGCGATTCTAGGACCAATTTAGTTAAAGGTCTCTCTCCCTGACAGCATAAAATACTCCACAAATGGGAGTCTCTACACTGAAACTTTTAGAGAGGGAAGCAAATCAAAACCTTTTGGTTTGCTTTGCCTTCTTGCCCTTTGACCTTTGTCTTTCTTGCTCTCACCTTGCAAAACTCTTGAAGGCGGCTGATTGCGGGTTGATGCATAGAGGTACGGTGTTACCCTGATGTCTGTCGGTGATGAATTTGTGTAGCGCTTCTGCGAAGGGAAAGAAAATGGCACGCAGGTGCAAAAAAAAAAAAAAAAAAAAGTCAGAATACATGTATGTGTCGACGAGTACTTACACCAAGAAAAGTTACATTTGTGAGCTTTCTCATTCTTTGTATGTCAGTTTAAGAATTTCCCCTCAAACAATAAATAGGATATAGCTGAAAAGTTTGGACTGAATTTTCCAGCCACATGTGCATGTAGTCCCATATACACGTTTCTTTTCATGCTGGTTATTCTAAAACCTTGCACCATATACATCAATTCTTATGTACCGCATAATCAACCTTTCCCAACATCTTCGAGACATACTACAAACACATCCATAGCGTGACCTCTCACCTTTGACCTGCAATACCGTGTGGAGGTCGTCCTCGTACAAACAGTCGAACCTCTGAGGGGCAGCGGGTTCAAACTCGCCGGTGTACTGCCGGCCTGCCGATGTATTGTGGCAGCAATTGCACATGCATGTGTGGTAACGTAACCGCCCCTCGTCAAGGTAAGGGTGCGCGAGGGCGTCGATACATGAAATCCTTTTGTCCTGTCAAAATCAAAAGAAGAGAAAATAGTTTAATCAAGGCCTTTTAAAATAGTTGTTTTTCAATAAAAAGTAATTATATTATATAAGTATAGAAGGATCTATTGTCATAATATTATACTCAATTGAAACATTTCTATCTTATTTCATCATGCATTCATATCATTGATATTTTGATTGAAATTTTAGCCTAAAGCAAATCAACAAATAACTGTAATCGTAAGTGCTTTGTTATTCTTACTGCAGAAAAAAATCTAGGATTTCACCATACAAGTGGACTACATTTAGAAAGAAATCATTGAAATTCAGGATCGGATGTTAATTAACCGACTACTAAGGTCTTGCTTAGTTGACATTTCCATTTTAATCAAGGAAGTACTTGAGTCTGAAAAAATAAAATTTTGATCAAGCCCCAAAACTGATTACCAGTTTACAAGTACTTGTATGAATCTACGGCTTCACACAAAAAGAATGTGTACTAAACATTTCCACTGATATCCATCCTTTGAAATTAGTTCATTTTTATGAAATCAGAAAATAAGAGAAACAGATTGGAGAGAGTTGGAGAGAAATCAGACAAATTACAAGTATGTTATGAATGTTTAACCAACTTGCAATAAAATATGATCGTCCATTGCAATGACAAACAAGAAGACGTAGACAGAACGATGATGAAGAACTACAAGCCGGGTACGTGCGTAACCCATCAGAAATAAAAAACTTACCGGATTGAAGACGAGCATTCTACTGAGTAAGTGGACAGCTTCATGAGTGGCGTGGCTGGAGAGACCATATAAAGCTGAGAGGCAAGGCTGTAAGACAAAGACATTTGTGATGGACTTGTGTCAGACAATGTTAAAAACATTGATGCTCCTATTGAATATAGGATTACATACGAACCAGGGTCTACCAAGAAGTCTGCGAGGGCAATATTCCTGAACATTTTCTGGACTTTGTAATGTTCTGGAAGACTGAAATTAAGTATAACGAGGTATGGTGTCTCAGTCACATTTCTTAATGCAATCACATAACCAATAATCAACTTCATTCAATTCAAATCAATTTGGTATTACAATACAGCATGTATAACAGTGGTTCCAGGTAGCGTTCATATATGTGTTCAACTTGCTTATTATGTAATGAAGATGTCCCTTTCAATTAATTGCAAAAGATTAGCAATGTAAATCCAGGCACGTAGATATATTCCTGATTCAAGTATGAAACACTTTACAAATTACTTTGTCATTATCACGACTCCTCTTTTCAAGAGCCTTATTTCTTTACATACCGGTTTATGTGGCATGCGTAGGAGGTGAGCCCGTGCTCCGTCACAGGCGTACTTCATATCCTCCATAGATGGCGTCCCAAGAAGATCTGTGATTAAATTGAGCTGTGACGGAAAAACAAGTGGGGAAATGGCATCAATTACAATGAGTTCAGTCATCCAAAATGTCACAAAATTACAACACCAAAAGTGCAACCAAAACCTAAACAGATAACTTTTAATTGTAATGATATTTTAATTTTAGGCACGAGGACTTGGCAATTTCTCTTTTCCAACTGTAGAATATTCTTTCTAATCTTGACTCTGACCGTATGACATCATACAATCATAGGTTTAAGTAATTATCTAAAGACTGGATGACAAATGCATACATGGGTAAGTGAGGGGCGCCTTTAAAGAAATAAACCTGTGCCAACTTGGCTCCACGGATCATTTGGTCTATTAAGAGCAAGAAGAGAATTAACTCATACACTTTAACACATAGTTAATGCCATTCTGGCACAAAAAAACAACACTCATATTCTTGGTCGACTCAGGATAAGGGCCCAAGTTAAAGTTGAGCATTTAGTCAGTATTCAAAATTGTGCAAAGAGCAATTGACGATGGAGCATTTGGCGTAGAATACTGGTTCGAGCTGAGTTGTATGGTACGATTACAGGATTTCATCACCATGTACTCATTCGAAATAGTTTTTTCTTCATTGGTTGGGACAATCATGGGGATTGCTTGCCTACTTATATCTTCAAGATGGGTTGAAGCCGAAGCTACAGGTTATGTACGGTACTCACTTGTGTGATTGGACTTTGAGCCTGGAAGAGGATCCGTCGGCCGAGGAGCTCCGCGAAGATGCAGCCTACCGACCACATGTCCACGGCCGAGGTGTAGTGTTTGCTCCCTACCAGGATTTCAGGGGCGCGGTAGTACTGGGTCACGACCTCCTGGGTCATGTGTTTGCTGGTGTCGGGCTCCTCCACTCGGGCCAGACCAAAGTCACACACCTGCAGGCAGAAAACAAATATCATGTTTATTATTTCATCAGTGCTATAGGATTAGGGTTAGCATTAGGATTAAGGTTAGGGTAGACTAAAGGCACTGCTTTTAGGGTAAGTTTTGGCCAGTTAAGGGTTAAATTCACTGTTGGTTGCGAAGTTGAAGATGAGGCTTTGGTAAGTGTCAGAAAGTGATCATGGGGAACTTTTCCAACTGGATGATAAAGAATCCTTATATAAAGGAAATTATCCCGTTAGAGAAGCCCAATAGGAACTATAATAATTTCTTAATTAAGGAACGATAACTAAAAAAAATAATCAAAGTCATTGTGAATTTTCAGGTTCATCTCCAGTTGAAAATTAACACATTTCCAACACATTTAAGGACAAAGGCATGGCCTGAACTAGGGCCAGGAGCTTGGATCAAACTACGGCTGTCATAGAAGTGATTCAAGGAAAGTACCAAGATGATCAAGACGTGTCAGGCTAGAAAGTGATCCGAGACAAGAAAAAAATACTTTGAGTTAATTTCAAGAGACAAAACAGGAAAGGATTAATGATCATGCAAGTTCTTCAAGACCGATCAGTGTGATCCCTTCGGCAGTGCGACAATCATCAAATATGCAACACTTCTGGCCAGCCCCCTACATGAAATCATGGACAACCACAGAACCAGAGCGACAGATAGACCAGGCCGAACAACATGTCATGAGTCACACCTAGGTTAGGAACATGGGCAAACAAAGGTGGTGTTCACACGTGGCAAAGTTACACATTCACTGAATAGTACAATGTCAAAACTCTCATCCTTGTTTAGAAAAGACTGTTTCCAGCTAGATTTATCACAGTTGGGGAACAACAGTTATTAAGGAAGAAAAAAAAGGAAGGTTGGTAGTGATGATTTACTGATCTGTTCTTGAATCTTACTATTATATAGGCAGATTCTTTTGTCATAATTATATCTGGGATGATATCTAAAGATAGAAGTTGTGTTCATACCCTTATGCCAGGAATGCACACAACCAGTACCATACTGAATGACTGCATGTACAATACATGTAGGCCTATGACCCAATCACTAGTCATCACAGTTATCAGCCAGCATGATATCCTTGAACACTAGTCAAAGCCACAACCACAAAGCCATCACAGTTAGAGTCCTTGTTCCCCATCAGCTACCTCATAAACATACACCCCAACGTTTTACAAACGTCACATGCATGAAAACATATCTGAACACACTCATTGACAATGGGGAATGTGTGTGCCTACAGAATAAAAAAATGGTTATCAGAACCACAAAGCCATCCAGTTAGATTTCCTTGTTCTCTATCAGCCATCCCAACGTTTTGCAAACATCAGGTGAACTCAGGTATGAACACACCCATAGACAATGGGGAATGTGTGTGCCCACAGAATAAACAAGCGACTCAGCTGGTCGTGTTTTAAAGCAAAGGAGTGTGAAGGAAGTATGACTGTTATCAACCCATGTCCAGCTTCCACAGACTAATGAGTTCATACAGAGTTATAACAACATGATGTCATCCTTCTATTCCATTAATTTGAGGACATTTGTCATATCTATAAACTACCGGTAATTGTAGTTGGGATCAGTATCAGGTGATCTGTAGTGTGAGCAATATGATTGATAATTCATATATAACCATTGACAATAATAAGTTCAATACCTGCATTGCTTGCAGCATCATGACAATTACCATATAAATTATTTTGTTCTGTATTATAATTGTGTTTTAGTTTGTAATGTCTTGTTTACGTCTTGCATTTGTTATCTTGAGAATTTTAATGTTTTGTATTTTCCACGTTTGTCATTTATGTTATGGGTCCGTGCACCCACTTCCCTCAAGCCATCGGCTTTACCGGGCGCTAATGATCCAGTACACTTCTCAATGTTTATATTGTATGTGATTTTTTATGAAATAATAAATTGAATTGAATACCAAAATTGTTTTCAGACAATATATTTCCCTGTCTTGAATTTTCATATTCCATTTCTCATACTACGTGAAAACCGCCTTCTTGTATAACGATACTGTAGCACTTACGCCTGTTTAAGTCTATATACTAAACCCCCTGTTATTCATATTATAGTCCTTGCTATTTTACTACGGCCCATGCTAGTTGAACTAGGCAATAACTACATGTAGTTATACTACATCCCCTGTATTATACACATGCTCCCCAGGCTACCCCTTTCTCTGCAAACATGTAGGCCGATACAAAAGAAAAGGATGCAGCATCCCTGCAGAGAATTATACCATGGCACGGTGGTGCACTAGGTAACAACGAGATGGTCTAAACGAAGCTACAATGTACATGTAATATACAATGTATTTCTCCCCATTGCTGGCATTCCAGAATGATGATGGATCCATGTGGTGATCGAACGCCCTCAGCAGCAGGCTTCATCCTGCCTGCCTGCATGCTCCAGGGAGTCCCCTTCTCTTCGCCTGTCTGCTCTCATTCATCCACAAACACCATCAACTATGATGCCGGACTAGATGAAAGGTTGGTCACACCCCCATTCAGATAAACATAGATGTAATTTTTTGTATAGCTATAAAAATAAAGACAACAATACATACGTATATAGTACTAGTTGACAAGGCTGGTCATACCACATTCAGGCTTCAACAATTTATCGTACTGCTATACCAAAAATAAATTTTCACACATTCCTTTTACACATACATGTATGATATTCGTATGCACCAGGCATGCAATTTTGCTATATGATTATTATCAATATCTATACAGCTTTCTTAAAACAAATTTGTAGAAAGGTTCCTCTCGTGTCAATGCCCCCCCCCCCCCCAATAGGCACAAGATATGGGCTTTGATGCACAGGGGAAAAGCTAGGAAGGAGATATGAATTATGCATTTTCCACAGAACAGGTCAGAAACCACACTCCTTAAGCGATGTCACTTTGATCTGTGGGATTCCTACACATCTGTGCAATCAACTGGTATGGAATCGCAAAATTTGAGCTTATTTTCCTAAAACAATGCAAGCATAATGAGAACATCTCTATACAGCTTCATACTTTTTTGTGCACTGCAACATTAAAGAAAGATTGCCAATCGCAATAGTAGTTTACCATCAGCAGCCTAAAAACGGCTAATGACGTACAATACTTATGACATATAAAACACTCCTTCACAGAGTGCAGCATTACACTATAGTGCTGCATACACTATACCACACTGTACATAATGTACATCAAATTTCATAGCACTAGCTAAGGGGCTATGCACATGAACTTAAAAAAAAAATGTCCTGGAAACCGTAGATGTAAAAAGTGGCAAAACATATGGTTTTCAGAACAAAGAAAAAATAACTGGTCCCTGCCCCCCCCCCTACCCCCCAAAGAACATAGTGACGCAGTGACACCTCAATAACTCCATTTAGCTCCACTCTATAGTCTCCTCCTCCCCTGAAAATCATCGCAATATTTTAGTTACCTTGGTGGCCCGAACGAGGACCCTAAGCTGCTGTTATTAACTGACTGGCTAGACAGAAAGGCAGGCATGTGATGAGCCCCCTTCCTCTACCCCTCCACCTTCCCTCTGCCCCTACCCCCTCCCCTATCCCCCTCCATATCCCCCTCCCCTCCACTTCTACCCCTTCCCTTTCCCCCACTCCCAATCCCCTGAACATAATCAAATATTCTGGATACCTTGGTGGCCCTTACCAGGACCCTAACTGACTGGCTAGACCGACAGGCATGTGATGGGCCCCTTCCCCTCCGCCCTCTCCTGCACCCTATCACAACATTCTGGATACCTTGGTGGCCATTACCAGGACCCTAACTGACTGGCTAGACCCGACAGGCATGTGATGGGCCCCTTCCTCTCCCCCCTCTCCTGCACCCTATCACAACATTCTGGATACCTTGGTGGGACTAACAAGGACCCCCAAGCAGCAATTAACTCCTTAGTTTGACAGTCAAGTATGCCATGAGCCGCCAAGACGATGCAAACTGCAAAGAGTTGAATATAAGCCAAACGAATAACGCCACTTCAACACATGAAGCATATAGTTTGAAGTCCCATGTTAAAAAGAAATGCTGAAGAAAAATCATCTAGCTATTATATCATGCAATCAAACTGAAATACACTCATTATTAGCAGCTCAAGGCGGGGCAAGCAACAAAACCTTTCACAAAATTCACAACCAAAGAATTTCTTCTACTTTAACATTTGATGATCACTATATATTCAGAAGAACTCCTAATGAGATCTTTATATAAAAAAGGTCATTATCGATAAGGATGTCTACATGAGATGAACACAATGAGTCTCAACAGAACTTTCTATGGAATCCTAACTTTGGAAGAAAAACAACTTCTTCATTGATGACTTCAGACAAATAAAACAAAGTTTCAAAAAGTGAAGCCTTAAATCTATTTCCATGAAAAATATTTTCTGAGCGGATAATTGAAGTTAAATGACTTTTCATAAAATCTTACAAAAATCATACACATCTAAAATGGCATACTTGTCTCGAGTAAAGAGTAAATACATGTGTAGAATAAGGACATGTGTGCATTCCAATATGTATTAGAAAAATAAAGATATATCAAAGAAGATTCAATGGTTTTTTTTCTTCACTTGGGTGAAACGATGATGAGATAAAATCCTAGGAGGATTTTGCAACCCAAGCTAAGACTGATCACAATTAATTCCCTTCTAGATTCCTAAGATTCTTGCTCTGATTAGCAGAGCTGACTTGGGATGAGTCAATTTCATGAAATGAACATCAATGACATGTATGAAATAAACATGAAATTAACTCTCTCTGGGATTCACTTTCCCTAGTCTTCATTCAGTCAGGAAGATTTATTTGCCTTTAGGAGTCTGCCCTTAAAAGAAATGTTATCTTGCAGGAAATGGGTTGCGACTTTCTTTCTCACATGAGCACTGCTTGTTTAATGGTAATTACATTACATTGAATCATTGCCATGGAAATCATATTTTGTAAAACTGTTCGGTGACAAATACGGAACATGGTAAAGGTAGATTAGTTTTGAAAGAGACTATTGGTGGATTGCAGCTGATACTGGCTAGCATTCCAAGAGAGTGAGACAGAGTAAATGACCAGTAATGCAGCATGACAACTTCTGTCCACAAGTTATCAATGGATGGACATGCTTGTGAATAAGTGGGTCTGCTTTAAAGGAACACCCTAGTGATGTTGAAATGTCAAATTCATGGTTGAAAATAAAAAATAATCAATTAGACATGGATCAAATTTATGATTTGCATAGAACTCTAGTCAAGGATTTCCATCTGTAGCAGATAAAGAGTTAACAATTTAGGTTTGCAGATTTTCCGCATTACATATATGTTGGTTTACACTATTAGGGTTGTGAACTGGTAGCCATTTTTGCTTAAAATTCTAGAATTATCCATTGGCAACTTCCTAGTTCAAGCATTTCAAGGGTTTCCTTTAAATTAAGGCATGTCCACTTTCAAAGTAGTGACCTCTTTCTTTCAAAGTACTTCTGAATCTCATATTTTCAAAATATTTTATTCATCTCAGACTTTCATACAAAAACTTAGGTAAATCATTAGGTTCTCAATTACATAAAAAGCTATCATTTACATTTATAAGTGCAAAAGTATACTTGTATTCTTCACTCTTGATGCATTCATGAGAAGGTTTCTTCTTACCTTAAGTACACAGTTACTGTTGACGAGAAGATTGCCTGGTTTGATATCCCTATGTAGGATGCCCGCTGAATGCAAGTACTTGAGCCCTGTGATAAAGAAAGGATCACCATTCATCATATATCATCATATATACACACAAAGTGCTAGCTATTAGTCATATATTTCGTAAAGATTACTTGACATATTCTGTATCTGTATCTTTTATGAAAAGAAAATTTCTACTGTATTTCCCCTTTTTATCATATTATGCAATCTTTGAAAGAAGATGCATGTATACATGAATTTTTGTTGACATCAATGTTATTTATTTTCATGAATCTTTGATGCATTTTATAACTTAAATATCCATCTTCTACCTGTTCTTAATCCACTGATAATTAAACTCCATGTATATAGGAAAATGGAAACATCCATTTACTTAAAAAACAGTGACTGTTTTCAAGGCATAAAAGTAGCCCATAATTCATATATCTGATTATCTGAAGACCACTTGCTTGCATGTATATATAGGCCCATGATATTCCATTAAATGATGCACCCCATCATGTTAAGAATAATGCAACAAATACAAAACCAACATACTATTATGGATAATGAATGCACAATTATTGTCATCAGAAGCCCCTTATATAATATCAAGTTCTCAATAGCATCCCTTGATGAGGAAAATGGGATGACCTAATTATTCCTTGGGGTATAAACATTACATGATTATTCCAAGCACAGGCGCAAGTTAATGAATATCAGCGTGTATGCAGGAACTGGTTGATTTCTTGCTAATACGTCCAATTTGAAAAGACATTTGTAGAGTTGAAGACTGCCTTAAAAGTAGTCTAGCTTCCAGGCTAAATGTATTTGAACGATAGGTTTAAATTAATGCCCCCATCTCAATGAAGACAATTTGAACAGAGTCTGGAGCATAAACATGTAGACTAACTCTAACTCAAACAGCTATTAAAAGAGGCAGTCAGATGTAATAGTCTACAATGTCCAGACTCACTCTAACTAAGTTCCTAAAGGGATCGTCTAACAATGTTAAATCTGAAATACACGGCCCTACGTGTTATCAGTGTCTGTAATATGGTGTAATATTGAAGCCCTAACAAAATTGCGCTTCAAAATGATCAAGAAGTGTCTCAAAAAAGTAAAATTCTTTGAGTGACCGGTTTTACCATACTCGTTTTCCCCAATAGACTGTAGTGTTATGAAAACCGTCAGGCGAACGGTTTTCAAAATTTGTAATTCCAATCATAAATATCTTGATAATCAGACAGGCCACCGGCTTGTAAAAGTCATGGGGTTCCTGACTGACCTAAAGGTTTATAATTTTCATTGCATCATGAGCTAAATCCAGAATTTTGTTTCAGAATTTCAGACAAAGTTACCAGATCCCTTTAAAGGGGAATAAAACCCTTCCAGTCCTGCAATCAGGATAACCCAGAACAAAAGTTACTTGGGTGTGTTTCTTTTCTTCATTATTTCATAGCGTATGTTTCCATTAAACTCACAAAAGAGAACAACATAATCAGCCAAACTGATGATTAGCCAACACCCCTAGCCCTCTACATCATCGACATAAAGCTTTTAATGGGCAACAACTACACCTATAGCATGTGTTGACTGTCAAGTCATGATCTTTCATAAGGGATATTGCTATTTTTAACATTCCAGTTATCAATTTTGGAGCACGCTGAATCCGGTGTTATATTTTTGGATATGACCTCCAACGGTGAAATGGATAAATATCAGGAATTGGGACTGGGGAGAACGTAAGAGAGGATTATGACATGGGTGTGCTTACAGGGACCTGTTCACACAAGTGAATCTAACGTTGCATATACGTGTATAGCAATTTCTCTCTTGTATTGTAGGAATTCACAAATGTTCTTCTAGTCTTTGTGAACTATTGAAAGCCTTAAAGGTGCGATATACCTATTTTGTGCCTTAATATTACATCAGTTAAATTTGAAAGCAAGTAAAATAGTAACAATCATCAATATATTTGTCAAAATATGAATTACATCTATAGGCAACAGACTTGTTTAAGTTTTGTAAAATCACATGGAAAATGAAGGAAACAAAAAATTCAAAAAAGCTTTCGCCTAGACCCCCAATCTTGAAAAATAGCATTTTCCACCATATAGACCTACATCTCAATACTTTTATTTAGGTGACAGGTTTTTACCAAAGTCCATGAAATGACAAAATGATGACCTTGTACCCCATCCCCCTCGCCCTAAAAATGTTCATAGTTATGTATTTGAAGTGAGAAGAGCCAAGTTCATGCAGACACGACTTGGCAAAGAATTGAGGGATTTCACATGCATCTATAGATCAATGGCAAGCGGGTGTAAACCGATTTACAAATTCAGCTCAGTAAAGGTCGTAAGGCTGCATAAAGGTGATTTGTCATGGTTGATAAATTCAATTACACATTGAAAAATGTCAAATTATATTGGAAAGTCTCTTTATATAAGCTCTTTTGGAATTATTTAGATACACCTTGCTCCTTATACGCAATTCTTGAATAAGTTATATTTCTTCCTACTTATTAGGATTGGGGAATTGAAAAATACGCACTCTTGAAGTAAATGTAAGATTCTCTGTATCACCACTATGGTTTGAATTACTGTATAAATTTAAATAATGATCTCATACAGCCTGACATATTATATCATCAAGTTAAGATACTCAAAATGTGAGACAATGGCCCGAATTCACAAAGGAGGTTGTACGTCATATGACGCGTTTTATGCGTTTTTTACAAACCTGGTTTGTAAAGAACAAAAGGAGGTTTGGCAAAACAAAAGGAGGTTTGAGCTCAACCTTGGTCTGCATGAGCTCGACAAACCTTGCTTTGTGAATTCGGGCCAATAAGTTATTAAGTGGAGGTATGGTTGTGTCATGGTTTCTCTTGAATTTCACTCAAATGGCATGAAGGTTCAAATCCCTGCCCAAAACTTATATCATTTGGTAAAACATTTATCTTCATTTGCCACTCCCCACCCAGGTGCACATGAGTATTTGATATGCCTGGTGCACTACATATTGGGCCACTTGTCCATATAACCAGAGAAATCACAAATGTTAAAGCAATTCAAGCAGAGACATACACTTCCAACTATAAACACTGTATGAATAACAGTAATTATTCTTTATATTGAACATGAACCAACATGTTACATGTATTGAGGTAGGTGGGACTACAGCCAAGAGCTTTGTGTCGCATAATTTGGAATAGATGGAACTGTTATAAATCATTTACATACATGTTCTTCTACATGTGGGACTTACCTCTGAGTATCTGGTAGAGGAAGACCTTGACATGATCTGAGCTGAGTGGCTGGGGAGATACGATGATCTTGTGTAGGTCGCTCTGGAGAAGCTCTGTTACAACATATCTGATCACAAATATGGTCAAGAAAAATATCAATATACTGACACTTTACAAAAAAATATCAGAATATCATCTGTTTAGAGCTCGAAGGGCATAAAATCATATCACTTTACACAGAGTCAACACCCTTCTGCTTCCGAAGAGATGATATAAAAGATTAAGTGTTCTACAAGAAATATAGTAATACATAAAAAGGAAGAGGATGTCTTAATATTTAAAGTATAAATGAGAATCTGTTCACAGCCAGAAGAATTGTTCGATTTACTGTTACTTGAGAACTCTTGTGTTGGTTGACAACGTTCGAGTATTCCCTTAAAATTAAGCAGAAAGCATTGCCTTTGCCTTTACAGAACAGGTTAAATGTTAATAGGCACTGCTGAAATGTAATTCAATACAAAATCAAAAGTAAATTTAACACCTAACACCATCCATTTCAACACTTTCACAGGATTGTAAAAAAATTCAAATGAAACATGTCGTTGTCAAAAAGACTTACAAATCAATCACGCCTACTAGACAAAAGTGTCACAAGCCTGTTTCTCAATACATACATGTACTACCAAAACGAAACCGAGACTGTTTATTTTTCTGTTGTTGAATCATGGTTTAAAGACTGCAAGTTTTGATTCTGTTGTGAAAAAATGGCGTTCTGAAGGAAATTGAAACCACGCTCTGAACAGGTTGATGAGATTGTATGGGGAAAGACAAGAGGAAGAAAGAATCCATAGGCCTGTCTCCATCAGACCGAAATTGCAAAATAACTCGCTATTTTCCCGAAGCTCGAAATTGCGTCGTCACCAGACCGCTACGCTATGCACAAACTTGCTCAGACAGGCACAAATAGCGGTTTATTTTAGAAACAGGACCAAGATTTCTCAGGATATTTTCTCGCCAAATAGCTCGGCCGCTAATTGCATTTACGGGCTGATGAAGAAGCAAATTAGCTGGCTAATTTGAGATCAGGCTAGTTAAAGAAAGCGGATTATTTTGGAACTTCGGTCTGATGAAAACAGGCCTATAGGGGACAGCTAAAATCTGATATCATGGATAAAGCTCAAAATCCAATAACCCAACATCCTTCTTTTCGATCTATCGAATCACCACAATCTTTTGTATAGTTCTAAATATAATCTGCAATCTTAATTGAATGGTTAGAAGATAACGCATTGCACTGAACTCTGTAAACGTTGTACAAAGATCCTAGTATACTTTTACAAAGACGAGGAAGTACCAGTAACTAGTAGAACTATCTGTCCCATTATAATGTCCTCTGCTTCTGAGAAAAGTGATTTATTGAACGTGGAATAATGAATAAATAAATTTTCTTCAAATTCAAAGTACACTGCCACAGGTTTATGTTTATGACGGTCATAAACATAAACCAGTGGGATGGATGAACGAATTAGGGTGACAATGGAATATGAGCAATACAAATTCCTGCCGTCTTTAGGTTCTAATTGATGACACCATAATAGACTGGATAAATAATGTAAATGATATGAATTTCATAAATATTTTTGACATTGACCTAATTTCCATGCAGTTGAAAACAATATTTTATGATGAATTTTCTTGGTTTTGCAGACTTTCTCCCTTCAAATTACATGATTACATAACAATTTATCCCCATCAGGCTATTTCTATCATCATTTTTTTTATTCTGGCACATTGCACACACAAAATCAAGAAAAGAATCTTTGAAATCATCTGCTTTCAGGAAAGTTTCATGTGAGTATCAAAACAACAGAAACAACAAAAGGAAAAAGACGATAAAATAAATAAATGATTTCACTATCAATTCAATCTTGTTCATCACTGCATTCAAGACGACCATGAATCTGTCAGCTATTTCCGCATAAATCCAAATGGACTGTTCTTAATCCATAAAGAGGATATCATTTACACTGATAAAATGCTTTATTGCGAAGATGATAAAAATCTCTAAATCTTACCCTGCTTTGCAACAAGTTCCATGCATCTTTTATTATCCATACTGACTGAATAAACAGGAAAGCATTAAAAGACAATGCTATTTCATGACTGCTGAGGTTATAAAATCCTTAGAAACCCTATTAGACAAGGAATTTAATTCCTGATGCATGCAAGGGGATGCTTGTTTCAAATTGCTCCATGTACATGGTAAAAACTATTATTCAATCATGAAAGAGCTTTTTGGATTTGCAGTTTTAACATGAAAATTCCTTTGAGTATTATTATTTATTTCAATTTACTATTTTTTTACAATAGCTCTCTTCATTTTTAGCTATATGGAGCACCGGTCATTTCAATTTAAAGCAGGAAACTGTCCTTCACAATAGGGTGGTTTTTTTGTTCTCTTGCACATGACCTAAAGGACTACATAAAGTTGAAATATAGTTATCAGACCTCTATATTCAGTAGTATACTGCAGCATAATGACATAGTGATGTTGTATATATTTTGATATTTAAAGGCAAAATGTATGACTGCTTGTTCCCCCTTTAAATTAGTGAAAGATGACATGAAACAAAGATTTTGTTATAATCGAATTACATTGCTTTGGTGTGGTCTGTGATACAGGTTTTAGTTTCAGTTCTCATCCGCATTAGAGTATTCTTTCAAGAAATAAAAAGAAGGAAAAAAAAGAACATCAAACCAGAAATCAAACAAATTAACAAACATACCCACTCCCTACCCTACATGTAAAAATGGTCGAAGAAGATATCTGTTATCATGCTAACTCATACAGTATTGATTACTGAACTATTTACAAGAGCAGCACAAATTTTCAATAAGCTTGTGTCTGACTTGTGAAGACTTTCTAGACAATTTCTACCAGAGAAATGTGACTGAAAAAGTAAAATCAAGAAAAGAAACAATTTGTTTAAATACCACCAAGAGGGGATCCTGGCTTGAATGATTAAAAAGAATGGTTGGCAAAATTAAAAAACACAGAGGACATTTTTTCCAGGTAGAAATGAGAGAAAATCAGATTAATATTTGAAGTGAGTCACCCAATCAATGGCCACTGATAACAAATCTTTTCTCAATATATATTACTGGATTGATTCTGTGGCTATGAATCATGTTGTTTTGTTCATAGATAGAAAAAGGGGGAAATATATTCTCTTTTATTTAGCCTGCAGGGCAACTTATGTTGTATGATGACATATAAGATTGCCCTTCCGTCTCCCCACATCACAGAGGCTAGGAAGGAATCCAGGTCACCCCGCAAAATCAGAATTAACATGCTATACAGACAACTTAATATTTGTTCAATTTGATCTGATTTGTAGGACCAATTTCTTTCTTTTTTAGAAAATATCTTCTGTTGAGAGCAAGAAGGGCATTATATAAATCTGTGTTCTAGTATAAGGATTGATGCCCATCTGAATCTCAGTATATGTTATTCTCTGGCATTGTCAACCATAGCAACCGGGAAAGACTCATTATTTTCATGCTCTTTATGAAAACAAGAATACAAGATCCTAATCAAATCATTTGGTTTACGACTTTCTGCTAATTATTTTATTTTATTAGAAAATCATAATACCTCTTAACCTTTACAAGTAATGAATAATCAAAAGCTAAGGTATTCCTGACATAGCTTTTTAAATGTTCATCTATTTCTGCCTTCCTATTACAAGAAGATAAGTTTATGTGTGCAGTCTGTATGTATTTTTACAACAAAATCATCATGAATGAATCAAAAGACAAAAATTCAAATTAATAATTTTAAACAATATTTTTGTGAGTTAGCTCAAGTAACATTATTGTTTGGATATTTGAGTGGCATTTACTTTCTTCTTCATCATTACAAAAGTGACACATGGTCAGAAGGGTGTTAACCTTGTATACTAAAACACAGAGTTAAAGCCCTTTTTGCTCTGAACAGATGATACACAAAAACAATGATGCATTGTAAATTTGTAACACTGGTAGAAATAGACTTATCAATCAAATGTTAAAACAACTATAGTACACTATTCAACCATTTTCAATATCTTTTGCCAAACCCATCATGATGTCAAGAATCTTTTGTTTGTTTTCTTTTTCCAGAATATTGCCCAACTGGAAACTGTTTTTAACCAGTATCTCTCAACCGTACTACTTGCTGCAAACATTTCATGCCAGTCAATTAAAAATCACGTCACTTTCGCAGTCACATCTGAATGCTCATTAGGTCTCTGTTTTGCTGTTGTTCACTAGCATGTTTCCATGACGACGTTAACGTTATCAAACTTTTATGCTATAGAGTTGGTATAACCTTTTTAAATTGACGTCTTTTGAAATGGTTCTGGTTTTGCTTATTATAGAGAGGTGAAGCATACAGATGAAGTGTCTTACATAAGTGCAAAGAACAGATTACTTTGTCTCATGATTACAAAACCAACCATGAAAAGGCATGAATTCAAGTCAACAGTATTGAGTATAATGGACAAAAATAGAAATAATTTTTCATGTACTGATTTATCGATAGCGATGACCCAACATTTGCTTAGGCATTATTCGTCCATGGCTTTCTTTTATCACGGAATAGGGTTAGGGATAAAGGCTTCTAAAGGTGTAGTTGTTATTCCTAGGTTGAATTAAAGCTATGGTCACAAATTAGAGCAGCGACCGACCGATCAGTAGCCTGCTCGGTCGCTGCTGGAATTAGGCATCGCCCAGCGATTAGTTCGGTGCCCGGGCGGCGACCGCCCAGGCACCGAGCGTATTTTGGGCGGCGGATGAAAAGTGGGCAGGCCCCGCCCAAATTTTAACTCCGCGCTAAAACTTCAGCGGCGACCGAGCGATGCCCTAACAACGAGCGGTGACTGGCCGGTCGCCGCTCGGTGGCCGGGCAGCCGCCGGGCAGAATTGGTTAAAAACTCGCCGCTCGGCCGCCGAGCAGGCTACTTTTGGGTAATGTGACCATAGCATAAGACAAGAATTCAGTTAGTGGAAAAAAGAAATTGACTGCAAGACAATCCCTGCAGGAGCATGCACCGTAAAACCATCAAAAGGATATCTTTACGATGGCCACGTGCACCACAACACTTTCGGCTGGTGATGAAACGTGCAACCGAAAAACAGTCAAGCAAAACCCATGACATTTTCATTAACCCACTTTTCATCACATGCCCATAAATTATACACATTTCAATACACGTTTTTGGCAGGATCGATTCATCCACACAACACAGACTTTAATCAATGATTAATCAAAAAGCCTTCATGCCATCTAAGACTGCCAGGAGAGAATAAGTTTGAATAGAAGTGTAATTATTCTTTGTTTTCCCCTAACAGAACTCTAAGACAGTTTCCAAAGGAGAGCAATTAAAGAAAGAGAAGGTCATCAAAGGTAAAAACATGGTCAAAGCTCGGCTGCGAATCCCCAAGACCCCTCTCAAGTTACCCAGCAGAGGAAAATTCAATTTCCCCCGCTCACCCCAAAACACGACATCCCCAGATTAAATTGCGTCAACGCTTGCTCCCCGAACCCAAGAGATGTGTGCAGGATGGAGCGCTTGAATTATGGGTAATTATTTGCGTATGTAATGATCACCCGAGGCAAGTAAAGCATGACATAAAGAGCCGAAATTGAGTCGTTTTGACAGATACATCTTGTCCATGAGGATGGGTGCCTACGTGAGAAGGTACAGATTGTGATGGGTTCGATTGATGACATGTGAATTTGTATTCTCTCTCTTTCTCTGAATCCTGTCTAATTATATCCCTCATCTAGGTCCACATTCCACAACTTCCATTTTCTGAACAGTCACATTGTCTAGACAACATACTTGTTTTGAGTTAACATTTTGACTAACATAAGCATATGTACCATGTGTCCAATTACATGTAGTTCAATGTCTGCTAAAAAGCCTAAATCAATTACTTGCACATTTTATACAACATCATTACATACTTATACAAAAAAGTTGGCAACTGAGTTTATCCTAAATATAGAAATTGAGTCATCCCTTATATGATATTTGATAAAGATGTTGTTTTCTTATAAAAATGACCTTCGGGTAAAACAGAACACAAAATAAACAAATACATAAGGATTTATAAACACATCTCTTGACATTAATTAAGTACGGTGAAGTAACAATTCATAAATATCAGACAAAAACAAAATACTCCGACATATCAAGGACAGGATTTTACACCTTGCCCTAGTTTAACCGTCTTTTAATATCTGGTTTTAGGAATTTGTTGAAAAGGATACATTTCTTCAAAGAAGTCTACATGTGGGGGTTGAAGGATATCCAGAGCTCGAAGCACCTGAAATGAAGAATATGAAAAGGAGAAAAACCGACAAAAATTATTAAATAGTTCACTCAATGATACACATCATTTAAAAATATATCACCAACTACAAAGCACAATAGACTAATGTTTCACAAACATTATATTGCCATCTCTTTTATAAAATTTGTAAATAAACTTAACAAGCAATTCACCAAGGGATTGAATTTCACTTGCTATTGATTTCTTGTAAGTGTTTGCGACTACATGTTTCATTGTTTGTATTTGTTTGACAATTTCTGATGCAGTAATGACTAATGAGAGCATTGAGTGCAAGATGATATCCTATCGACCTACCCCCTTCCCCCACATTATCTTTCAGTTTTAAAACCATTTGCCACCCTGCCCTTGAAAGAAAGACACTTGGACTTGACGCCAAATTTGTTTGTTTTTTAGGAGGCCAAGATCATCATAAATAAATAGGATATTTATAAAACATTGGCCTATGTTGACATGTTGCCCTTGACATTATAATTTGGTAGCTTGTGTGATTCAACGTGCCTGTTTAGTTCCAGAAGGAAGTTAACTCTGTGTTACTAACTTCTTGGTGTTACAGTACAAGAGTTGATAACACCTTTCTGGCTCTCAACAGATGGTTTATGTATGAGCATGGGTGAACATGACAAGTACATACCAGTATATGTATAATTAGAAAATGTTCAGACTTTGGATGGTACGCCGTGAAAGGCATGGCACATTTATGGCAATTATAGTGATAAAAAACAAGGGTGTATCAGTTGAATAAACAGAGCCTTTGCACGCCAAACTCTCAGCATCATTAATTACACAGGAGTATGATGCAAGTACAAGGTGTATCGAAACAGAAACACATATTTCAAGTATGCTTAAATATTTGCTATGGAACATAATATAGGCCTACATTTTGATGGCGGTTAGAAAACTTTGAGCAAGATTTAACAATCATACAAAATCTTTGTCTTATGATATCACCATGCTGTTTGTACACATATCACTCATTATAAGCACTTAAAACTGCTCGAATCAACAATTCGATCGAATGGCATTGAAACCGACACCCGGGGACAAGGGACTGCGCATCGTTCGAACAGCATTGATTCTAGGTTTGCACGATATCCAAACCGAGTAGTAGCAGATCATTCAGTTACTTTGACGGGATGCTGCCGATAACGCCAGCGAACGTGGGCAGAAAATTGAGGGAGCAAAAAGAGGGCTGATTTATTGATGAGATGTCACGGCTGATGCGATCGCGATACTTCACTCCGAACCCACACCAACACCGCCCCCCCCCCACCTGCCTGCTCCACACGCAAGCACATACAGACCCAAGCGTACAGCTATGAGCCTGCATCCTAATTGCTGTGAAACTGCATAGTTGGAGGGAGACAGGGGGGGGTGAAAGGGGGAGGGGGACAGGGAGGGGGAGGGAGTGGGAGATGAGAATTTGACAGAATTCCTCTCTTTTATCAACAAAATACATGTGGTAGATACATGAATGTGGTTTACTACTGATATTGATGTCGATAATTTCATATCAGTTTGATGATTCAAAACAACACAGTATATGTGTGCATCAATTCTTATGCACGACATAATCAACCTTTCCCGATTCCTTCCAGACAGTCTCTTTTAAATGTGTAATAAGTTAATAACATGACCAGAACTGATTTTATCTTTAAGACTCCACAGTCGACACTCACAGCGCTCGCTCGACTGTATCCATATTGTAAACTACTCCGGTTCATGAATCCTTAATGCAAACATACCATGAATGTACTTTACATGCACACTTCATGGACATACATTGCATGGATACGACCTCCATCAACGCACGCAGTTCATGTCATTGCCAATTTACTTGGTAGCGGCATCTTAATGAAATTTGGGGTAATTGGTATTGACTATGATACATAACAGCTGTATTGACAATCATACATGTAGCTTTCAATATTTTCCATTAATCACAGAGGCAGAAGGGGGGAATGCCTTATAATTCCTAATATTTTGTATGTTTTTCATGAACCAAATAAAGCTGTGAAGTACTATTTGAACATGAACAAGTAATATCCTTCACAAAAACATTAATTGACAGAATTCTTGTTAACAATAATGGAGTGGATGATGAATTATAATGAAATGTCATCAAAGTGACATAAAAGTAAACATTTATTTCAAAGGTATCGTTTTTTTCGCCCATAATTGAGGCATGTAATTTCAATGACAAATTTAAGAAAACAGTAGTAATCTGCATGAATTGCTGTCTTTACATACATGCATGCCAACCGAAGTGTCCTAAATCTCAAGGACTTTTAGCAGCAAATATTCTACCTTGGCTTAAATTATCCTTTTTCAGAAGCACATCCCCATGTCTAAGTGACCATCCTGCCATGATGAGAGTGCAACGCAGTATACAAGAGCTTGCCAATGAACTAGGATAATCCATCGCAAATCTCAACCAGCAGACTATGGCCTATTTTCTGGGTCGTCAATTGTGACCAAAGCTCCCTTCACATCGGGCAGGTAAGAGAGGTCGTAGCGAGGTTGCCCTTCACGTGAGCGCCCTTGTGTAAGAGTGAAGACGCAACTGAACCAAGTAGTGTTCCTATGGAGCGTTCCCTCTAGAGCATTCTCACTTTTGAGCATCTCTCTGGTATGTAGTTTGGTTCTCTTACAAGAGCGCTTTTACGTACAAAACCGTGCAGTGTTAACACAACTGCACTGGAGCGTTCTTCAGGGTAAAAACAGGGCCCAGCCATGCTGACCTACTTTTTATCTTCAGTCCTAATTCTTTCACTCTCGCTACACTGCTGCAATGAGCAGGACATGAGATGATTTGTCTTTTCTTTTTAGATTACGGTTGGCAAAACCTACTTCATCACGAAGGCAGGGCCCCTCCGGACAATTTTACAAAGCTAGCTGGAGAAGCGGAGGGTATTGTTTGAACTGTCCAGGAATGGGTGACGTGAGAACAGAACTAATTCACGGTGGCTGAAACGAAAAATTATTGCAATATGCTGGGTACATGATCTTTGTCAATTTATAAGGCAGGTCGGTTGGTAGTCTAGTTTAATGAAGAGTTAAGAACAGTCACAGAGTCACTAGCTGGCTTTGATGTTTCTCATTTATCTGTCCCCTTTTTTCAACGAGAAGAGAGATCATTCGTTTCGGATAGGTCATTCTCATTTAAAAGTGGTGAATATGATAAGGGGTTCTCAATGTTAATCATCATGTAATCTTATGAACTTTGAAGATTGGTGATGACTTTTTTTCATGGAGAGAGGAGGAAATAGGAAGAGGGAGAGTGGGAGGGGAAGGATAGATGGAGGGAGGGGAAGGATAGATGGAGGGAGAGGAGGAGGAAGGGAGGGAAGGGTGGAGAGAAGGAGGGAGGGAAGGAGTGAACAAGCGAAGAAATGAGGGAGTTAAGGAGGAGACAGACATTGAAGAGGGAGGGTCCACTTAACTTCCACTCATGTCTCATTCAGCATAACATCCAGCTAATCACTATCAACATCGATTGTGTTTACTTTAAAAATAGTAACAAGCAATCAATGCCGTTTGGCAGTGGCAGGAGGGAGACTATCACCTACGCAACATGCCATTGAGAATTCAATGTCAATTTCAATGTGTCAATTTCAATGTCCTTTACATGAATTTCCTTGAAGTGAGTTATCAATTGTCAACTGCAACCTTTTGGGGGTTGGTTTGAAAGGTTTCGCAGAGGAAGTTGGCAGTCGGTGATCCAAAACTGTTGGCAATTCTTGATTTGTGGATGATGTTGATGGTATTGACCCCCTTGTGACCTGACATGAACTTGCTTGGTATTAGTGATAGTGGTGAGGTGAAATACCTCTTGATCTAGTTCCAATCTCAATAACACAATACATTACATTGTAGTATTGTTCATGATAATCAGATTCCATCATAGGGTGAAAGATAAAGTACTAAAATGGATAATGATGATAATGATGATGATGCTGTTATTGTTGTTGTTAATACTATCAATTATTATTATCATCACCATCATCATTATATCATTATGTATTGATTATACAGCAGTACAGCAGTCTATAAGTCAATGTAACTGATAATTTCACATATGTGTATTCTAACACATGTATTCATTTGGAAAACAACACTTAGCAATCCTCCCACTCAAAATCATATACAAACAAACATACATAAATACTACAGGAATTCTGATTAACCATGCACGGAATAATATTCACAATATGCATTTTATATCAGGAAAAATACTTGTCAACATATCCTATACGAGGTGGCCAATGTAATGCCATCTGATAGCTTTAGAGCCTGTTCTAGGTTGACCTTATAAACACAATTAGACGAGTCTCTGGAAACATCATTTAGCCAAATTTTGCCTATGCCTTTGTTAATAAATTTGACCCCTTTGATGGGAGAGGATCAACCTTGAATTTATGGATTATGACACAATCTGTTAATCAGATCCATATTCAATGCTTTTTCTCTATTGTTTATTGAATTATCATCAAAAATGAAATCTAATGCATAGGACTCTGTGTAAATAAAGTACCATTTGCTTTACTGCATAGTCAAGAAAATTACCTAAATTTTTGAGGATGTTATTTTTTTGGTCAATTTTCTATAAGTGGTATATTTCATGATATGTCAATCACATCTCATTTAGTTATTCATGACCAGAAATTAATACATGTAGCAATATTACATGCCATCACCGACAAGTTTACAGCAGAACTGGGTGGTAGAGATTCTAGAGAATGCGAGGGTGTGACATTAGTTGCATGAGCCCTTTTTTGAAACCTCTGAGTAAAATGATGAAGAATCTGCGTAAATAGTCTATAATGACATGGTGTGGAGGGCTCGGCAGATTGATTGGAGTAACCAATCCTAAGTAATAGGTCAAGCCAAGTCTACCAAGATGACATGGTTTATTAATAGCCCCCTTCCATGTGCGTCAGTGCTTGCTCCCTGGTTCTTTCGTTGTCAAGGGGCACCTTTCTTGCATGTGATGTGGCAGGTAGCATCGGGGCTGGTTTATAGGGGCCCCAGTCAGGCCAGGCCAGCCAGTAGGTCGGTATGGGTGTGGATAGGGAGTGATGGAAGGGTCAGGAGAAGTGATGGAGGGGTCAGGATTGCATGGGGTTGGGTAGCAGCAGCAGGAAGGGGGATGCAGAGGGAGGTGAATGCATCCATGGAGGCAGAGGAAGAGAGAGAGAGGGAAGGAAAATGAAAGAGAGCGGGAAGGAAAATGAAAGAGAGAGGGAAGAAATATGAAAGAAAGCGGGAAGAAAAATGAAGGAGAGAGGGAAGGGAAATGAAAGAGAGAGGGGAGGGAAATGAAAGAGAGAGGGAAGAAAAATGAAGGAGAGAGGGAAGAAAAATGAAGGAGAGAGGGAAGGGAAATGAAAGAGAGAGGGAAGAAAAATGAAAGAAAAAGGGAAGAAAAATGAAAGAGAGAGAGGGAAGGAAAATGAAAGAGAGAGAGTGAGGGGGAGGGGTTACAAAGAGAATGCAAAGGTATAGTGATTGTGAAAGAGAGTAAGAGATGGAGAGACAAAGAGATAGACTTGAAAACAAAAGACAAGTATTAAAAGAAAGACAGATAAAATAAAGAGAGAGAAAGAGAGCAAATAGGAGATGGGTAGAGAAGGTTAACCAGAGAAGTAGAAAGAAAAACAACAAAGATATTTACAGAGAGACACAGAGAGACAAGGAGAGAGAGACAGAAAGAGAGAGAGAGACAGAGAGAGAGAGAGAGAGAGAGAGACAGAGAGACAGAGGGAGAGGAAGAGCAGCTAATGCCTAGCTTCAAGCTAATCATGCAAGAAATGCAATTTCACAGCCACTCTCTCCCTTGATGTAGCAAAACTGCATTATTTCATTAAAATCAAAAGTACAAACATTTTATGATTGCTCATGAATGCTGTAGGAACCATTAGGGCATTAAGGAGCATGGTATGCTTTAAGTTTATCTTAATAATTCCCTTCACTTCCCTTAAAATAATTTACCTAAGAAGTACTTCTTTGAGGCAGAAATGAACATCCATTTATATATATTTATGTCCCCATAGAATATTTTTACAAATGAATATGGGATCCCATTAGTTTTTATATGCTATCGCAATTATCATCATGTTAAAAAAAGTGCAAAAAGCTTGATAAATAAGCCTTGCTTCTCTTAGAGCTAGCAGATATCCAACATTCTTTTACATCTACACATAGTAGAATTTAATACTAAAAATGGAAAAACATGTATTTGATAATTAATTTGAATGTATCATTAACCTCCAATCCAAAGTGCTACCCACCCCCCCCCCCCCACCTTACTTTTAATGTTCACTCTAGCGTATAGCTTAAACCCAGAGCAGGTTGCTTTGAATAAAAGTAGAAGTATGGACTTAGGATGATTTATATGTAGATGACCAAAAAAAAGTAAGTTATATAATGGCACCAAATGAATAAATGAGAAAAATGTCTGCAGATGAGTAGACTAATAGCTACTCAACAACAAAGGAAGGTGGGGACCAAACAAAGGAATTAAGCATGTATGCTTTTACAAGTGAGACTTTTCTTGTTTTGACAAATATCTGTTGGTTTTACCACTGAAGCACTAAGGCAGATGCAGTAATTGATTCTTAGAGATGATTTAGTATCAGGATACATTGGATTTGATCACTGGCATGAAACAAAAAATGCTCTTTGGAGACACCATCAAAAGTAAGCACGGTAGATCTTGCGCCTGTTCGATGATATCCACATTCTAAACAAGCAAATTAACCTTGCCCGAGGAAGAATTCAGAAATCATATTCCTGGAATTTTGACCGACGTCCATCATTAGAGTGCTAGTAATGAAGCCCTACTTGGGTAACTTTGCAGATATAGCCTACATTATATTACAAAATTATTTTGTGACTTGGCATTATCATCAGTTCTTACATAAAAAATAATGGGAGTACATTTTTTTCAAGAGCTACAAAAGCTCAGGTGTGTTGTGGAAGTACATTTTAATGTTTCCCTCAGAGAATTTTAGGAGTGCACTAGACCACTCCCCAAGACTTATATTCTCTTGATTAGCTGCCACATCTTTACACAATATATTTCAGATGAATGGCTAATTGGAAGTTGTTACATGTAGTGACGTACTTGTTACGTCAGCTGAAATCTCTCTCAAAGATGAACAGAATCCTAGGTGGCTTGTTACATTCATCAGACATGAGTTGTGAGGTAATGCACAATGAAAATAGAAGTTGAAGCGCTCAAAAGATTTTGAATTTTTGTTCCCATCTTTAACACATGAATTTCATGTAGATCCTTTATTTAAATGAATGAGAGAGAGAGAGATATAGGGGGAGGGGGAGGGGTGAGAGGTATAATAATAATGGGTTCTTGTATAGCGCTTATGTCAGTCAGATTTGAACCTCCTGGCGCTCCCGATTATTACCCTGGCTTCAGCACGGTTGCCATACAGCGCTCTAGCATTTCAAGGAATAAATTCCTACCAGGTACCCATTTACTTCACCTGGGTGGAGTGTGGCAAATGTAGATCAATGTCTTGCCAAAGGACATTAGTGCGGCAGCGGGAAAGAGAGAAGAGGAGGGAGTGAGAAAGAGAGAAGAGGAGGGAGTGAGAGAAAGAGATAGGAGTGAGAGATATGAGAAAGAGATAGGAGTGAGAGATATGGGAGAGAGAAAGAGAGAGATGTGAATAAATGAAGCTGGTCCATTGAGATTCATGCATGTACTTACATTGTCATGATTAAAGAAGAAGAGCATCTTGAGTTCCCGGTAGACCCTTTTGCATGAGATGAGGTTCTGGAAGACGTGGGGCATCTTCTTGAGGGCGACCCGCTTGCCATCGCGAGGGTCCGTCACCGACCTGGTCAAAACAAAGATAAAAAGTAAAAGGAAAATTGTTAGAGCGAGCAGATCGATGCATGGATGTATAGGGGTGAGGGAGTGACAGAGAAAAGGAAGAACTGAAGCAGAGAAGAGAGAAATAGAAACACCCACGGAGAAAAGAGATAAACAGAGACCGACGAATAATCGGAAAATGAAACTGAAAAGACAAAATAGAAATAATAAGAAAATAAAACAGAGTGAGTGGGAATCAGGACAGACATATACAGTTGAAAGTGAAAGGAAATAGAAAGATGTGGTATGTTTCTATTTCCAACAATTTGATTGCATAAATATATATCTTTCTGCATATCCTATGTTTTGTTTCACACATGTAGGTGTAGGTTTTCCACCAATTCTATGAAGCTTAAATATATATAGGCCTATATCATACAAGGAAAGAAATAGAGAGAAGGGAAGATGAAGGGGGCTGTCCATACTGCTATAGTTCAATCTACTTAAAACCTGACCACAACACCATGGACATTCAATCCTACTTCATATCTGTATTCAATATAAATACAAGTAGTACAATGACCCCAGCATGAACTGTCTTCACAATACTGACATCATACCAGACTTGGTATGTGTTAGTCTGCAAATACAGACTCTACTTGGCACTTCAACACAATGTCGTCAAGTCTTGAGCCAAGCCTAAGTCTTTCAGTCTCTGGCTATGTCAGGAGTATCTATAGTACAAAGCCTATGGGTGCAGCAGATCATGCAGTTTATATACATGTAGTCTCACTGTTCAAACACTCTGTAAACACGAGGCCTGACTAAGGTGTGTGCCTGCAAACTAGGCAAACTGCCTGCCGCATGCTCTCAACATGTAGTAGCATGGGCTATAAATGTATAGATACAAATCGATGGATACAGTCGTTAATAGGTATTGAATTCTCATTAATCCACCCCATTTCCTTCGACATAGACCGTGAAAGTACACGTACAAGTGAAATTAGTGGTTAGAAATTAAAAAGGAAATGGCGTACGAACCATTCCTAGTACATGTATTCCTAGTATAGCCAGCAATAGCGACACTTGACATGATAAGTTTTGATAATAACTAACTACCTCACATTATTATGCATGTAAATGATTCTCAAAGAAGAAATAATCAAACTACAAGTTAACTGCAATTTTTTTTAGAATCATGAAAACCTCATGGTCAATGCGAAGATACATTTTGTTAATTTCACAATAAAAATTGCACTAACCTATACCTCAAATCGCATCAAATATCCGCTCTGCATACAATGAATACATTTACATGCCAAGGCGATGCACTAGTGCCCTTTGGTAAGGCATTAAATCCTCATTACCAGGTCCCTCGGAGAGGACCTAAAGCCATTGGCCGTCTGGTTGCTTACTTACAAGCATTTATGCTTTCTTAGCAGTCAGGTAAAATAACCACCACCAACCAACTATGCCCTTATTTCATGGTGTACATCACCTAACGGTACTTAAGATTCAATTAAATAGATCATGACAGAACTTTTATCTAGAAAAATACACTTCTGGATCTTTTTCAATGAATACAGACTTGATTAGACGTAAGACCCACAATGGATATCCAACCTACCCATACAGGTGTAAAGTTCACACGATAACCTCTGGCAATCAAACAGGATTTCTCCTCAAAGCACATTTTAACCAGAACCAACCTTATCAAATCTGGAAATAAAGGAGGTCACTGGCATAGGTTATGAGGAATATTTGCTTAGACTGTGGAGTGCGTCAAGGAATGAAACAGAGCCAACTTGCTAGGTCTAGCTCGCTTGCTTGTCCAAGGTAAACAGTTTTCCTGTAATTTCTCCTCTCTTACCCAAACACAAAATGTCAACTGACCACTTTGCTTGGAAAGGAGGGTCTAGTTTCCCTGTCTAATATCAGGAAGAGGTGTACCGTATTCATAAATGGAAGGGGGAAGAAGAAAAAATCCCCCTATAAAAAGCACATATTTATCTTTAATCTTATCCTACACTATGTGGTAATTATAAATAATGATAGGCCTCTACTTTTTTTTAAATATTTGATGAATTTGTGGAGAAAAAAACAAAGATTGTCAGACAAATGCAATTATTTATGGGTATATACCTAGCCTTTCTTCTTTTCTTTAAGAAGGATAGGAAAACGTTGGATAAGATGATTCCATGAAGCTCTCCCTCACTTTTAGGGGTCCCCCCCCCCCCATAAATGATGACATGCCCCATTGGCATCGGTATCAATATTCCTTCCTTTCTGACTTTAATTATCTTCATTTTGTTTCTATAGAGTGTCCAACTTCCTTTTCTTTTTAAACCAAACTTTTAACAATAGCTTTAGCCCTGTGTTAGGTTCAACATTAAATGTTAGTAGAATAAGGGCCATCTGTATGTTTTATGTATGACTTTCTTGGATGTAGGTCCTACATGCGCAAGTAGCTGTAGATAAAAAGAAGCAAGACAATTCTATAATGTATTGCTACATGTACATGTCATGTCAAAAGCATAGACGTATATGAAGACCTACAATACAAGTACATATAAGGATGATGTCCAAAGTACAATTTGTGTAAATACAACCTGAACTATTAGAGATGCAGACACGGTTAAATTCAAACTACCAAATGATGTTATTTTCCATACACAAACATGCATGAATAAAAGAAACATATAGGCCTGCCTTGTATGGGTAGTTGTGCTGATGATGAAAAAGACACAGCTAATATGTTTAGACCTCACCTTGGGGGGCCTACACTTGTATTCTAAATGAGTTCCAAATGATTTTCACACGAAACGGGAGATCTGGAAACTTATGAAGAGGACCGAGTGAGAAAAAAACCCACTAAGCGCTATATAAAAATTAAATATTATTATTATTAAAATGCAGTATATGAAATAGCCCACTGGTACATTTTAAAAATAATATATTCTCCAAGCACCACATCTTTTGCTACAATAGAAGGAAAGATAGTCTTGATTTAACAAGGTTTAAAGGGGTTGTCTTTAGTGCTATTACATTTTTAATAGGCAGGCGATGACTAGACACTTTTAGGCAGCAAAGACTGAATCTAGAACATCTTCATAACATAACGATTATACCTGCAGTAAAACATTCCCAAATTACAAAGAACTAATCGTCTGTTGAGAGCCAGAAGGGTGTTAACTCTGTGTTATAATCTACATGAGTGAACGCCCTTCTGCGTCCAAACAGACAAATTGTGTCTTTTAATAGGGAGGGGAGGTGCAGCAAGATTCACACAAGACAGATGGTTTGCTGGCCAAGGTTGATATACGAGCTTGATGTCTAAAGTCTTCTACTAATTCGTCCTGTTCTTGACCTTTCCAATAAACACACTGAGTGTGTTGAAGCTGGACACTTCGATTATGACTATCACCTTCTCATGCCAGCCAAGTTGATGACCAGCTGATTAACCCACTGACCGAAAGAATATAGGTCATGGAAAGGTTGGATGCTTTATCTCCTGTGACTGTGAGCCAACAACAATTATGTCTCCTACACTCATACATGTAGTTTCCATGACGAAAATAAGCAGAAAGAATGTAGAAAATTGATTTATTTTTATTTTTATTTACATATTTTTGGGGAGTTCTCTACTCATTTGGATTCTGGAAACATGTTTTCTTTGATCTAACTTTGTGATTATTTATCCACTCATTTATGTACGTATGTATATATAAACATTTTTTTATTCATTTTTTTTTAAATCGTTCATTTATTTAATAACTACTGATCTATTCATCCTTCATTTTCATTCTATTCATTTATGTACTTTATCTATTTATTTATTTACAAACTATTTATTCATTCATTTCCAGTACATGTCAAGGTTGTCATATATTTGTTTATCTGTTCTGTAAAGCAATTTGGTCAGTTATGAATTGGACACAATGCAATAGAAGAAATAATTGATATATAGTCATTTATTTATTCATTCATTTGTTTATTCTTTTTTGAAGCATAAAAATGAATCAAGCATCATAACAAAGAGAAAAAAATTGAGTGCAGTATACAGGCAAGTCTTCTGATGGCCCATACTATTCCTTAGCACAAGGTCGGTTCAGAGCAGTATAATTTTTTTTTTTTTTTTCCTGGAAACTCTTTTAGAATTCATATTTCAACAAACAAGATACATCAAATTGATTTAACAGTATTTCATTATTTTGTTAACCAGAGTTTGATTGCTATGTGCTCTCATGCATATTGTTTATCCACTGGTTGGGAGTGCATGGCTCAATCAGTCCATATATTCCAAATCTTCATTACATCAGCACTGTAATGAAGGACTCGGGATACGGTAATAGACAAAACACAATATTGGGGACACAGGTGTGTGGACACTAATGAGTTATTATATCTAAACCTAATTATCTATAGATGGGCTTCTAACAGTGATTGAACAAATGAATTAAATCATTGGTATTCTTACATCAATCAATAAAGGAATGAACAGTTTCTCTGCATTGAATTCATTTAAAAGAAACGGGAAAGGTAACAGAGACAAAGGGCTAAAAACTGTTCTTTTGATGACACATCTCACAGAATATGCAGAGAATGACGTACATATATCCAACTCCAAATTCTGGAAAATATTGTGTGTTTTAAAGGCCATCTGTACTAGTGTAAAGGAGAGATTAGACCTCCCTGCAAAATCACTGGACAGGTGGTTATATCATCAACTCAGCTCTCAAATAACATAAGAAAAAGAGGATCATGGGGACCAATGGTCACCAGTTAGGCATTGTTTGTTATATGGAGGGCACAAATCGCTACAAGTAGTGCAGTGTGGCTTTAATTTTGCAGCCAGAATGTTGATATGTGTAAAATGATATCAGTTGACACCCTTCTGGCTCCGAACAGATAATTTGGTATGATGAAGAACAATACATTTAATAATAGAGAATACATACAAAACACAAAGCTCTCATAACATGATTACCATACAAACACAGAACAAAGCTTAAATCAATACTTCTA